GACTGCACTACCTAGACATCAACGTCAAATAAATAATTCGGTCACTCGTAAGCTGAGGGGTGAACATCTAATTTACATCGACACCTGGACTACGGACCTTTTACTTTGGCTGGCCCGAAAACAATTCCAGGAAAATGTATTGCATTCTCTGTTTCCGCTAGACAACGTCATTTCTTTCATTACACACTGAATGAGGTATCACCTGTTGGGTCTACGACTCTAAGACTAATTTTAAAATGTAAGTACCTAATACTTTTAAATTTTGTCCCCATTTAAATTCACGATTGATTCTACAAAGTTATAATTTTATTTCAGTATCCCTGATGACATTTAGATCTATTCTTTCTCTCTAATTCTAATTGTAAACGATTCGTATGAAACTTTAATAATTTGACAGTTACTCTTTCTTAAAATCTGTCCCTTAATATCAGAGCCTTGTGATATATAAATTAATCAGGTTTGAATCACCGATGCCGGACAATTTAAATATAAAAAATAAAATTAAGTTTTTCTTAATATAGTGTTTGGAAAAATGAGTAAAGAATAGAATAGCCTTCAGTAAAAATACCAATGACAAGATGATAAACTGTCTATTATCGATCACTTATGGCTTTCCTTTATAAATAGGGAATTACCGGTTTAATTGGTTCAACATTTTTTGTACCTGGGGGTCGATTACATAACTTATTCCGGATTCCACATTTGACATTCCACATTCCGGATTTAACATTCCGGATTCCACATTTGACATTCCGGATTCCACATGTCACATTCCATATTCCGGAATAAACACTCTGGATTCTCATTTCACAAATTTTGTCACTATTAAGTAGTAGCAATCGATTCATAAAGTTTAACTATACTTTTTTATTTTGCAAAAGACGTTTTTGTTCATAACTTTAAAAAATATTAAGACATCTATAAATCTGGAATGTGGAATACGAAATGTGTAATGGGGAATCTGGAATCCGGAACGTGGAATGAGAAATATGGAATCAGGAATGTGAAAAGTGGAATCCTGAATTTGGAAACCGTAATGTGGAATATGGAGTCCGAAATATGTAATGTGGAGTTTGGAATGTGTAATCCGGAATATGAAAAGTGTAATCTGGAATGTGAAATCCAGAATTTGAAATGCGGAATGTGAAATAAGGAATTTAAAATGTGGAATCTGGAATGTGAAACCCATAATATGGATTCCGGAATGTGGAATACGGAATATGGAATGTTAAATTCGGAACTTAGAATCCGGAACGTGACATGCGGAATGAGGAATAGGCTAATTCACATATTACGTGATATATATTTAAGTTATTTTAGACCCCCTCCCCCCTGCGTAATACTTTTTCTATAGTTTAGTAAAGAAAATTTGTTAAAGCGTGATACTTTGCTTGCCCCCCTCCCACCCCTAAATGTATCACGTAATATGTGAATGGCCCCAATACAGAATGTGAAATGTGTAATCCGGAATGTGAAATGCGGAGTGTGAAATGTGGAGTCCGAAATGTAAAATTTGGAATGTGTAATTCGGAATATGAAAAGTGGAATCTGGAATGTGGAATTCGGAATGTGAAATCCGGAATTGGAAATGTGGAATGCGATATGTATAATCCGGAATGTGGAATCCGGAATATGTAATGCGGAATGTAGAATGTGAAATCCAGAATTGGAAATGTGGAATCCGGAATATGGAATCCGGAAGAAGTAACGTAAACGAACCCCTTGGACGTAAAAATAGTTCGACAGTGAAACATAGTTATCAGTCAGTGTTCCTTAAAGAAGAGGGTTACCGGAAATTTTCATCTGGAAGCTTAAAAAAGTAGTAAAAAGTTTCTTAATAAAGTGTTTGAAAAAGTGAATAATGGGTGAGGCGTAAAGTTTCCAAAAAATAAATCAACTCTAAGATACCGCAACGTCTATTGCTGAAGGGTTTACGATAGTAGTTGAAAGTTTCGCTGTGGATGGGGTTAGACATTTTGTTGTATCGAGACGTATAAATAGCATGACACTGAAGCACAGCCATCAGTCAATGTTTGAAAATAAAGATCGCAGAATTTTTTCTGAGTTCGTAAAATTTAACGGTTGTGGTAAAATTTGTATTAAAATATTCTTAGGAAATTTAAATAAAAAAATGGACAGTAAAATAATAGTATTGAATTTTTACTATGTAAATTGACGACCGGATAACAATGTTAGGTGATGGATAAAAGTAATTGGAACGGAAATTACAACACAGGGTTGCCACGCTTTTACTCTTTTCAAATTCTCTGACTTTTCAATGTTTTTCAGGTTAAAAACGGAATTTTTCCAGGTTTCTAAAACTACATTTATATTTTACCAAATTAAATAATTCCCTGATTTCCAGACAAAACTTTGACTTTTTTCTTACTATAGCTTATTCAAAAGTTATTTTCATCATTTCGATTATTCATTCGAACTAAGCTAACTCGAATGTCGAATTTTCGACATTCGAACTAGGTAGGCGAAAAAATTCGAACAGTTCGGTTCGAATTATTTTGCACAGCTCTAAAAATAATTGAAAATCTGCGATGAGTTTTATTATTTATGAAAATAATTGAATATACCTATACAAAATGTTTTATATTGTGTTTATTATTACTCTGCCTGCAATAGGCAGGGTTCGAGACTCCCAAATACATACACACGTCAACTTATTCTATAAATACAAAATTTCTTAAGCTATAACGCCTCTCATGTCCCACATCAACAAAACTTAACCTCTTCTCATCCTAACAAAATTCTCCAGTGCCAGGGCTTCCGTTTCCAGTTCCCTTTGTCCATACTGACTGATTCCCCATTAACGCCCCACCCCTTTAAATCCTTAATCTCCATCTTCATTCCTATCCTTCTTCATTTCTCTCCAATCACCCGATCATTCATTCCAACCTCAAACACTCGTCCATTACATTCTCTCACGCACCATTTTATCCCATCCACCCACACGCATTCCCTACCCATTCTTACTTCCCTTCCATTCCTTCATTCGATCCATGCCTTCTCTCCCAGTAACCATCTTATTCTCCTTTCCCTCTACGTTCTATTCTCATCTATTCTCTCAACACATCCATTCAACCTTCCTTCAACCACATCCTCTAAATCCCATTTGCATCCATACTCATCGCTTTCATCTGCCTAATATTAATTTTCACCCCTATCCTTTCAGCCAGTCTCCCCGTCTCTCTTCTTCCTTCACTTAAACCTGCATTCATACCCCTAATCACTATATTTCTTTTATCGTTTTCCATCCATTCCACTCTTCTTTCCAGCTCATTCACCTTTCGTTCATAATATACATTTTCACTTCCCTCACTACTCATTTTTACCCCCTTCTTTAACATAACCTCCATTTTTTACCCTCTTCCTTCTTCTCTAATATAAATTTTTCCAATTCATCCACTCTTTCTCTCATACCTTCCAACTCACTCGCACACCTTCTCCACTTTTCCTGCATCCTTTCCATTTCCTCATCTAATTCATCCAAGTCTTTACCCCTCTCATTACCTGCTTCACACACCGTTACTTTATTCTTCCTCACTCTCACAAAACGCTCTTCCATTGCCTCATTCAACATTTCCACTAGTTCCATCAAGTCCATACAGTCTTCACACGTCATCACCTTTCCATTCTTCCCTATTCCTCCTTTAAATATTCGCGTCTTTTTCTCACTCTCTCGCACACTACTTAAATCAAATTCAGCCATTCCAGAAATCTACCTTATGATTCAATATTTCCCACTGTCTCTCTCTTTTCTCTCACTTCAAGCAACCTAACCTCACAATATCCACTTCTCTTTTTTACCTTTTTTATCACTCACACTTACCCACTCGTACACATACAATCTTTTAACTTTCACCACCACTCTTTCCTTTGTTATCTCAAACACTACACTACCCACCCTTCAATAAAATACTCAAAATTTTGCCAAAAATTCTTAACCCTTTACAAACGCGTGCACAACTCAACGGTACCGGAAACGGAAACCACCTATACAAAATGTTATTATTTATAAAAATAATATTTAAATAATTAAATTCCTGGGAAATTTTTATTATTAATTATGAAAATAATCAAATGTGTACGTAGAATTTTATAAACATTTTTTTTAAACTAATTGAATTCTTGTAGGGATTTTTATTAAAGTAGTAGATATTAAAAATCATTAAATTGAGGATAGTTTTTGAAAATAATTAAAATTTTGCCAAGAATTTTATTAAAATTTTTGAAAATAATTTTAATACTTTTGAAAATAATTGAATTTACGCAATCATTTGTAATTGCTTCAATTAAATTTCAAAAATAAACACAATAACTTTAGAATACAACAATTTTCCAGAACTTCGATAAAAATTCCCTGATATTTCCAGGTTGCGTGACAACCCTGTTACAGATTGAAAATTCTTATAATTGTTTTAGCTGTTGATGTTTTTTTAGTATTTTACTGATGTCAAAAATCTTTTTTAATTGGAATTTTTTATTTATTTGAATACTTTTTGCTTGACTGTTTGAAATTACATAACCTTTATTTCCACCTTAATTAGAAAAAATTTGAACTGATTAGAAATATTTATATAAATAGCATTTGAAGCTTGTTTTACTGTTTCACTAATATCAAATAATTAATTGGAATTATATATTTATTTGAATTTTTACTCATTTTATATCATACCAACGATTGTGAATTTGATATTCAGAAGGGTAACTAGCTCAATAGCTATTTATATAAACTCACTTTACTTTCTAATTCAACATTAGTGAATGTATAAACTAAAAGAGGTCTTTTTTGATATGGTAACTTACTCGACTGAAAAAGTAAACGACACCACGTTAAGTTAATATTAATAATCATAATCAGTAGATCTAGGGTATGGGAAACTTGTATGTGAATAATTCTAGTAATAACACCTGCGTACTAATTACACTCCTCCCTTTGGGACAGTGAAAGTCGTGGAAAAAAAGAGGTTAAAATAGGTAAAGAGAGAGGATGGCGTGAGTGTTCATATATAGAAGGAAAGAAACTGGGTGGCGTGAGTAACTCAAGTGTATGAAGAGTGGACGTGTTACTTGAAGCTCATACTTCACCGAGAAGCGTGTCCTCGGTCAAAAGAGATCTTAGCGAAAAAAGAGCGACTTTTCTGGAGCAAATTTAAAGTATCGCATGATGGTTCGTCTACTTTTATACAACCACCCAGAAGCTTAACCCTTTTGCGATCCAATGTATATTCACATATACCTATATATATTTTTTTTCCTTTTTCAGATTTTGTTCCATCAGGTTATATATAGTAACCTGACGGAACGAAATCCGCCAAAAACTTTTTTATTTATTGCGACAGCGTGTGGTCTGCTGAATAAATCCGTCGAGTTACTGGAAAATGAAAGAGACTGGATTTAGTCCACACTGCAGTCAACTAAACTTCTTCTTGTATTATGCGTACATACGTGACACGAACTGCAATAATAAACTCCAATTTTGTTACGGAAAATTTATAACAAAAAAAAAGTCCCCGCTATATTTATTCCTCTAGGTATTAATTATTCATTGAGGGGAAAAGATTTCACTTTATTTTTTTTCCCCCATCATAGAATCGATAGAAAAGCAAGTAGTGAATATAAGAAAAGTAATATTCGAAAATTGAATGCCGTTCACGGTACGTGGGATACAAAAATTATATAAACTTTATAAAAAAGTGAAAGAAAAATATCAAGATTCAAAGACCGCGTTTGCCTCCAGTTGAACTTTGAAGTTCAACGAAAAATTTCTAGAAAGAAAGACTTTGAAACTGAGTGAAATAAAAAGAAGAGAGAACTTTCAAACTTTAAGAGAACATTCAAAAGTGCAAGGAGACGTTAAAGGAAGAATGGTTGGGAGAGTGTTTGGAAAAGAGAGTTTTCGAACAATAAAAAGAGAGATTTTTACGAACATTTAATTCTAAATAGACACAATTAAAGAAAAAGGGTAATTTACTATTTTTTTGCACATTATGTGGATCATTTTGTGTGTATAACTTGTCACCTGTTAGGAAAATAACTCGTGATGTTTGCGTGCTAGCATAATTATAAAAAGTCTCTTTTTTCCAGTAGCCTACTTACGCTTTTAATATATATAATAGGGGTGATATGTATACATAAATAAATAGTGGAGAAAATTTTATTTAAAATGAATTCTACCTGAACGATGACAAAATTAGGGTGAAAGGATATAGAAAAGTTTGAAGAGGTTGAAAATTGAGTCAGTGTCAGAGTTGTTGCACGCGATGTGTATTTAAGCCACAGTCAGTGTATGCCTATAAACCGGAAACGTGAATACTTACGCTTTTCGTGACAGAATTGGTGAGAGCTCTATCAAAAATGTACATTCGTTCGCCAAGGGTCTCAAGTGCGAGCTTTGCTCTTTCCGCTTGAAAGTGCAAGAGCAAACATCGGGCCAACGACTATACTTATTCCTTTTGCACAACCCACCCCGCCCTTTTCCCGTCAAGCATGACTCACCCCTTTCAACCTCCATCTCCCTCTTTTCCCCTACTCAAGATCTTTGGTGTTAAACATCGACCCCGAATCCCTTTTAACCAAGTTGCGCCTTCTGCTATCACACCTACCCCCTACTGCCACCATTGCATATATCTATCGCAACACGAACGAATACCACCCAGCGCGGGTTGAAATTGAAATATGTTACCCTGGGTGACGCGACCCGTCGCTGGATAATTTAGTAATGTTGAATTTACCTCAAGTTTTAATCGCTCCAACGAAGCAAAAGTGTTCGCGTTAAATAAATTTACATTTTCTAGTTAGAAAATAAACTAAATTCATTTTTTTCCAAAGTTAAATTTATGATTAAATTTTAATTACTCATCGTTCGGAAAAGTCTGCAGTCTGTTAGTATTAAAAGCGACCAATTGCACATGTTTAATAATAATAATAATAAATAATATAATATAATAAAGAGATAAAAAAAAAAAGTTTTTTTTTTTTATAAAAATCTCTCTTTTTATATAATATAATATAATAAATAATAATTTAATAATTCAGAACACAGGAACAGAAAAAATAAAAGTGGTCCAGGCCTACATGTCTTATAGTATTTTTTCCCGGTGAAAACGAATACGAAGTCAGAATTGCTCCATCACCCTCTGTTTTTTTTTTAAATAAAAAAAATTACCCTTAACCTTCGCGCTCCGGAGCGGTCACCCGAGATGACCAAACAATGTAAAATGTTGTAAATCTGCTCGACTTTTGCATCAATCGAATCGCGATTTTAATTCATCGAACAAAATTTGATCTTCTTTCAAAAAATAAAAAAATAAAATTTTTTTTTCATTTCTCCTTGTTTATTTATAATAATTGAAAAAGTATGTAGCAGACTACTGAAAGTTGCCCGGGTGTTTATTTTGTACATTGCAAAAAAAAATTAAAATAAAATCATCAAAGTTGTACAGTAAAATTGTTTTATGTCAATAAATACAATATATTTTGATGTTACAATTAATTTTTTATTTATTAAACAAATTATTGTTGTTATTTACCAACTTTTTACAAAATGCACCTAGAAAGTTGCAGTTTTTTCCTAATTCCTCTATATGATTACAGATAAAGAATAAATAATGAATTATTATTTAAACAATTTTTAAACAAATTATTAATTTGTTAAAAAAATAACCCAGGCGAGAACTGACGCTGGATTCAGGCTTTACGGAACCTTCGTTGAGGCTTGGTCAACATTGATCAAGCCTTGGTGGGACGGCGGAACGAAGGTTGCTTCTAGCTATAATGTAACACTTATTTAAGACTGACGCTCCAGTCTTTGTTGTAGATTGGCGTTCAATGTTCAATCAATGCTGCGGAACCCTAATGCAGGACTGAAACAAGGCTGCTTCCACTGTTCCCAAATTTAGGCGTCTCTCGCGCTCATTCAATATAATATGGATATATGAATTGTATATAATAATAATAATAATAATAGTAATAATTATAATTATAATAGTAATGAATATTATTGTTATTATTTTTATTCATATTATATGCGTTTGTTAATTTAATGGCATTAAGTTACTATTATAATAATTATATTATTATCATATAAATAATATATTACTAACAATAAATGTCATTTGAAATAGTAATATTAAAAAAATAATTTTAGTAAAAGAAAACTATTTTTCTGTTAATCGGTACATTTTTTTCTCGATTTTTCAGCAGACTTTTTAATATTATTTACAAACATATTCACATTTTTTATTCACAACACAACACACAATTTTATTATTAGATATAACGCTTAAAACAAAGAATGAAAAATATTCGCTCGCATGTGGGATCGAACTCACGCACCCCGCCCCTAACGCATACCGGAAGTCCTAAACGCACGCATTTAAACCGCTCGGCCACAGAAGGCTGGAAGGCACCTCGCCTAATCTACTATTTCAATGCCAGCGCCGTATATTCTGTATATACGGCGCGTCACTCAATATTTGTTCAGCATGGGACACCAATGTTCGTCCCATGTTCGATTCAAGACTCGGTCAATCTTGATACAATATTCACTTTCTTTATTACCGTGTGCACTGAACAATATTAAATATCAATATTTATAAATTATTTATTATTAAAATATTTTTTATGATAATTTTATAAGTTAAATTATATATTATTTTTTTTCTCGCACAGTGTCAAATTATTATTTTCAAAGTTTAAGAGTTTCGTTTATCTGAAAAATTATTAGTGAAAAAAATGTTCATTAGGTAGTAATAAATATTTATGCTTAGTAGTTTTACACTAGGATTAACTGTTTAGTAAATATTATCAAAAAACTATTTTTTGTCAAACGCGCGCGACTAAACACAAATAACCTTGAAACTCCAGCATTACCAACTCAACACATACGTTAAACTCTTGAGTTGGCAATGCTAAAGTCTCAAGGTTATTTGTGTTTAATCGCACGCGTTTGACAAAAAATAGTTTTTTGATAATACATATTTACTAAACAGTTAATCCTAGTGTAAAACTACTAGGCATAAATATTTATTACACCCTAATGAACATTTTTTTCACTAAAAATTTTTCAGACAAACGAAACTCTTGAACTTTGAAAACAATTATTTGACACTGTGCAAGAAAAAAATAATAATGTATAATTTAACTTTATTTATATAAATCTTATATAATTAATAATAATAATTATAATAATAATAATAATAATAATAATATTTAATATTTATTTTTAATTTAATATTTTTTTATAATAATAATAATAATAATAATAATCATTATTATTAATAAATTAATAATTAATATAAATATTATACACTAAATAAATATTAATATTTATTTACCAATTGATATCTTGATAATAATAATTAATAATAATTTTTAAATAGTATACAAAATTATCATAAAAAATATTTTAATATTAATTAATTTATAAATATTTATATTTAATATTTTTAAGTGCACACGTCAATAAATAAACTGTCAAGATTGATTCAGGCTTGAATTAAGATCAGATGTTCGAGCTTCACTCACGAAGATTGACCGAGTCTTGAATCGAGCATGGAACGAACATTGGTGTCCAATGCTGAATCAACATTGAGTGACAGTGGTATAAAGACTGCTTCAACACTGGGTTACCCAGGCTGGGCGTTCAAGGCTCAATAAATCTCCAATCCATCGTCAGCATTGGTCTTTCGCGCCTGGGAATTCAAGTGTTATTCTTTATCTGTAATCGTATAGAATTTAGTAAATTACAAAATTAGGAAAAAAACTGCAACTTTCTAGGTGCATTCAGTAAAAAAATGGTAAATAACAACAATAATTGGTTTAAAAATTGTTTGTATAATAATTCAATTCATATCTGCAATATGCATAAAAACATTATTAAAATACAGTATTTGTATTAACACATAATTATATGGAAAAACTTTGATGAATTTAAATCGTTTTTGGAAAATAAAAATATAAAAGCGTTTGGCCACCCCTGGTGACTGCATCGGAGCCCGCGTTATAAAAAATCGTTGGTAGCGCGAAGGTTGAATGTATAAATTCAAAGTTTAAAGTAAAAAAATTAAATAGCAGATTGTGCGTTGAAAAACAGAACAATCTATTTATGTACTTCTTTTTCAACAACTCAAAAACAATGTAATATTTAAAACGTCACTCTTTTTTTTAAATCGAAAAAACAAATCTTAAATGTGTAAATTCAAAATTTTCAGTAAAAGATTGTTTTTCAAAACTGAACAATAAATTTATGTACTTCTCTTACAACAACTCAAAAACACCCCAATTTTTTGTTTAAATTAAAGAAAACTACCCTTAAGAGGATAAACTCAGACTTGCCAGGAAAAAATAAAAAAAAGATTAACTTTTTAAATGGAAGCATGCGTTTCTGTATTTCTATTTTAACAACTCAAAAAAGCATCAGAATTGCTCCATCATCCTCCAATTTCTTACGTAGAAAAACTACCCATAAAAGAAAAAACTCAGAGTTTACTATAGAAAAAAATAAACAAAAATTTTTAAACAGAAGAATTAAGAAGAAGAATTAAACATGAATATATCGAGCACTACGAGTCTTCGACTCGGAATGATCGATTTCTTCATATTTTATAATAATTAAACATGACCGAGTGATGAAATCATTATTTTATATTATAAAAAAATATTGTTACTGTCACTTCTTCAAAATTATTTTCATCAATTCAATTCAATTATTATGTTTTAGAATTTTTAACAACAATTTTTCTTTAAATCAATTATTTTTAATAATTTTTGAAAAATTTCTTTAAAAATTTTCAAATCGTTTTGTTTACAATTCAATTTTACACTGAATTTCGTTTCTTCGGAAATACTTAAATTAAAATCACATATATACAAAATTGTATATGTAAAAATAAAAACATGAAATAATTTTTTTAAAAATTCAGTTAAACTTTATCAAAAAAATTAATTCTGCAGAATTGTTAGTTAAAAGTATGAAAAATTCAGATTTTCAAAGATATTAATTTAAAACCTTTTCAAAATTCAATTATTTCTAAAAATTTACTCTGTAATGCTTTTAATGTTCAATGATTATCTAAAATTTTAACTGAAATCCATTTTTTAATTAATATTTATTAGAAAATTCTACAAGAATTCAATTATTCATTTATTTCTTTCTTTATTTTACAATCAATTAAATACAAAAATAAATAATTTATTGAATAATTGAATGTTTCTCAAAATTGAATTCTCAAAAAGAGTTTTATCAATAAATTTTTAAATCATTAAATTCTTTTGACGAATTTTAATAGAATTTTTAAAAATAATTAACATTTTTCGAGGAATTCGATTAAAATTAAAATTTTGTGATGAATTTTATTATTTATAAAAATAATTGAATTCCTAAAAAGAATTTTATTATTTATAAAAATAATCAAATGTTTTTGTAGAATTTTATCTTAAACTGTTTTCAATAATTGAATTCTTTGGGAAAATTTTATTAAAATAATAGATATATTGAAAATTATTGATTTGAATTATTTTTGAAAATAATTGCAATTTGGCCAAGAATTTTATTAAATTTATGTTTAAAATAATTGAATTTCGAAGAAAAATTTTATTATTTATAAATCCCTGACTTTTCCCAGACTTCACTGACCTGTGGCAACCCTGTATAAAGACCTCAATCAGCACATCACCAGCTTACGAGCACCTAATTATTACTAAATTAATATAAAGGTAATCAATCTTATTAAGTAATATTACTTAATTAATTTATCTCGAATTTCTCATTCTAATATTAAAAAAAAATTAATTTCTAAAAAAAAGTTATTTATTTAGTACAATAGTTAAAAAATTAATAGTAACAGAGAGTAGTGAAGGGAACATTAAAAAAAAAATTAATTAACAACCTCAACCACCAGAATTAAAAAATCGTTTTACAATAATGAAATAATAAACCAGCGGTAAAATGGCTTTTAATATTCCTCGCACAATTTACTGCGAAACGAGAAAATTAGAAGGCAGAAATTACCAGCAATAAAATCTTTTTAAATCGAATTTTCTCAATTTAACTAAGAATTGACGTTCATAAAACTTGCTAACATTATCTAATTGAGTGGGATAAATTCTCTGAGTTTAACGTGTGACACTCCCTAAAAAAAATGGAAAGGGGAATGGGTTAAAATAAAAATCTATGCTAAAGAACTTCTGGTTTTGAACTATAGAAAATGAGTAGGAAGTGGGTACAAAACGAGATGAGGAAAAGGAAAATTGTGAGCTTAATTAAATTTTAATTTTCACAAATGAGCGCGTTGGAATTTCATCCCAATAATAATAACGAAGTTAAAATCCACTTTTTTTTTTGCCATCCGTTGTCTCCCATCGAAAGTAAAATTCCAATTTTTCTCCAAGAATGATTTGTCATCTTTTTTTCAGATCAAGGACACGTCCAAAGGGATCTATAAAGATTCTTTCTAAATGTAATCGAAAATAGAATTCCCCCGCATCCCCAACTGACATAAAATTCCACATGGATGGTTCGATTCAATAAGGTTTGAATAATACTTTGGATGAAGGGAACTTTTTCAACTACCGATAATAATCATTTATCCTAATTGTGTTTTACACTAATTGGTTTAATTTCTGTTTTTTTAACTTACACAAGTTACACTGATGAATGTTATTAATTTATTCATTGAATTATTAAATATTAATTTAATGGTCTGTTACAGATATTGATAAACACCGACAAGTCGTTAAATATGGAGGGCGTTTTTGGATTTGACTGAAGATTTAACTTTGCTTATGACGTTACACTGTTCTAAACATTTCTTGAGATTTAGGTAAGCTTTTAATCATTAACGACTTTTTAGCTTGAATCAAGTCTTGACCCATCAGTGTGCCTTGAGCCTAAAATAATCATTAAATGCCTCAGGCCAATCTTATGTCATAGACGCATTTTAAGCTTCAAACAAGTTTTATGTTTCAGGCAAGTTTCTAGCTTCAAACAAATCTTGAGCCTAAGGTAAGCAAAGAGCCTTAATCAAGCCTTATGTCTTAAGTTTTGGACGAGTTTTTAGCTACAAACAAGTTTTAAGCCTTAAGTGAGCCTTGAGCCTTAAGCGAGCCTTATGTTTAAGTACAGTCCTAAGTTTTAGACGAGTTTTGAACTTATGTACTAAGTTTTATATGAGTTTTTAGCTTCAAACAAAACTTTAGCCTTCAGTGAGCCTTATTTCTAAGTTCAGTCCTAAGTTTTAGACAATTTTTTAGTATCAAACTTTTTAGTCGCCTTGAGGTAGCTTTGAGGTAACCAACATTTTTTTACGCGGGTCCTTATAAATGAAAATAATCTTTTAGAATAAAAACAATAAGATTTTTGCAATAAAAGATAAAATAAAATGTAAATAATATATTAATTTTTTTATCTTTATTGTCATAATCTATTTTCAAATTATCCGAATTATAGCTCGCTATTAAATCCATTTCTTATTGAAATTTTGACATTAAGAAGAATCTGAAGTTGGACACATATTTAAACTCAAGTTTCATAATCGTATAATTGCAATAAAACTCATGATTCAGATGAAAATTTATCAAAATTCATATCAAATAGTGAATTTTATAAAATGTAATAAACGAATTTTGAAAATACATTAAATAGTATAATACTAAATGCAAAATACCAAACACATCTGTTGATTTTCCGATTTGACAGAAGTGAGAGAACATTAAAATTAATTTATCTCGAAATCATGACAAATGCAGTTATGCCTTTCTTCCACAGAATTGTACTTAATAGTGTTTGGGAAATTTGCTGAATGGTAGAACATCAAAATCATAATAAATAAATCAATTCAAAAACTTCAACGTAATAATAAAAGAATCTTTTAAAAAAGCCAGCACATTTATTGTACGCGAAACAATGGTTGATGATTTTTAAAATATTTAAATGTACGTGACATAATGCCATTAACATTGTCATTGTCATATAATTCTATTTCTTTGAGAAATTCTTCACAAATAATATTCTCATTGTCGGTTGGACTGAGAATGAGTTTAACAATTTTTCTTGCGCTCGGTTTGCATGGAGCAAAAGCCTTCATGAAACATTGTTCTAATGGTAGGATTTCCCTGGAAAAAGAATTTTATAATTTTTTTCTTGTTTCGTGTAAAATGGTTTTTTCTTGTGAATTTATCTTTGAATATTTTTTTTTTAAAGCAAGATAAAACATAACTTACTTGCAAGATGTGGAAGATACTATGGAACCTGTCAGTAATTGAAATAGAGTTATATCATTTATCGACGGATTATATAGAATATTTTCGAATTCTTTTTCACACTTTTTCAAAACATCAGCTTTTACTATGAACCTACAAGCTCCCATTTCAGCAATCATTTCTGAATTAACTGTAATATTGTAAATTTCATAAAATTAATTTTAAATTTTAAGTCAATAAAGGAAAATTGAAAAAAATTAAATTTTGATTTAAAAAAATTAAAGTTAAATTTATACAATTAAAATAAGTTTACAATTCAAAAAAATACTAATAGTAATCAAATTACTATTTTTTCTATTATCATAATGTTTTTTTATTTTTCAGATAAAATGAATTTTGTGAATTAAAAAATATAAAACTCACGCAGTAAAACTCTTTTGGCGTGAATAGTGAGAATATGATCGATAACCATAACCAATTCATTGGGATCTAATTGGTTTCCATTATCTAAACAACCCTGTATGAGATTAATTATTTCCTTCAATTTTTCAATCATTCTTATATTATAAACGTTTTGAAGAACGTAATCAAATTTCTCTGTATTCCAGTAATAAAGAGGCTCCCAATATTGTTCCAAAATAGTTCGATATTCACCATAAACTTTTGAATTAATTGAATAATTTGCTTTTGATTCGCATTCTTTGTTCACCTCACTGTGGAGTTTCATTTTGAACCAGTGTTGAATATTTGATTTATTTGCTTCACTTAAAATAGCTTGAAAATTGTCTGCAATTCAAAATCAACATTCTTTTTTATATTATATTATATTATATTATATTATATTATATTATATTATATTATATTATATTATGTTATATTATATTATATTATATTATATTATATTATATATTATATTATATTATATTATATTATATTATATTATATTATATTATATTATATTATATTATATTATATTATATTATATATATTATATTATATTATATTATATTATATTATATTATATTATATTATATTATATTATGTTATATTATATTATATTATATTATATTATATTTATTTTTAGTTATAAATAGGGTACAAAATTAAAAAAAATTGAATGCCTTTATTTTTATGAATGAAGAATAGAGAGAATATAAATTTTAAATACTTACAGAAAGTAATGGACAATAAAATAATTTTTAAAAAATTCATTCTTACAACAGTAAACACTTAGGTATGATGATTGTTTTCATAAATGTTTGAGAATTTTAAATTAACTGCATTACGACAATAGAAACTTTGCCATATTACTAAATTATCAGACTGTTGATATTTCATATCTCCTTATATAAATTTAAAAAAAAATTATCTATTAATTTCCGGCATCAATAGTTTTCCTGTCATATTTTGTAGCAAGAAGGAAAATATTTAAAAATATTACTGAGTGATTAAATAAATTTTTTATTGTTTCATATATTTTTTATCATTGTGCATATTTATGTATGTGTATTAATGTATGTATGTATGTATGTACCTCTATTCAAGTAATATAACAATAGCTTTAAATATATAATAAACTATACATTAATAAAAATAAATTAATTTTTCAATAAAAGTAAAAAATTATTATTATATCTTTTAGCCCCCTTGAAATTGAACAAGGATGCTGTTAATTCAAATCTTTCAACGATAAAAGGAAATAATTAAATATTTTATAAATTTTACATCACTGCGGGAAATTGTTAGATAAATTTATAAAAAATGTTGTCATCCTTTCGTTAAGATAGGAATTATCAATACCGAATTTCTGGTACATAAATAGAATATAAAGGAGAAAAATTTAATTCAATATTGTATTGCAATAGGTATAAAGTAGCTATTAAAAGATAGTCAAAAATAAAAATGAAGAGCTTCTCTGTTGTTTTATTAATCTTTATTTTCTGTGAGTATTGTCCAATGTACTTATAAATTTTGTTTTGTTTTCTATTTTTTAAAAAAAAATAATTATTTTATTAAATGTAAGAAATTAATTGACCTTATTTTGCAAATTTCATTTATTTAACTAATTTTTAATAAAATAAAATAATTAAATGTAATATAGCAGGTAGTATTATATTACTATGCATTATATTCGTAGAACATAACGAACTTGAATTCAGTACAATGCAATCAATTATAATTATTTGAATTAAATATAACTAATTTTGAATACCAATAATAAAATTGTAGGTATTGGTATTATTATTATCACACGGAGAAAAATTTTCTGTTAATGATTACAATAGTCGAACAGTACTGCTCGGATATGTGACCACTTTTCGTAATGCCTAAAGTAGCTTCGTTGTAACAATTCTGTAAGTCGAACGTACTCATTAAAAATTTATTTGAAATAAATACGAACTAAATATGAGTTAGCACAAAGTCTATGTGACTGATTATAATAGTCTACGTTAAAAGGAAATCTTGGATTCTATCCACATTTGCAGCAATCTAAGGGAATCAGTGATACAGTCTGTAGTAGTCTTTACAACAGGACTATTGTAAAATAAGGTGACCGCGGCTGCCTTGCCTTCTTATTTTACTATAGTTCTTCGTAAAGACTATACTATTGCTATATTTCTGATTACAAATGACTGTTGTAAAGTTAAAAAAGAAAATTTTCAACTAAAATAAAATTTTTTTGTAATTCATGACTTCTAATCATGTATTGCACATTAATTTCACTCTTCCAAGACTACCCACTTCAAGATTAATTATATTATTAAACTAGACAATTTCACTAAACCCTATGTACATAAATCTAACTTAAATACTAAACGCACAACATAATAACGATCGCTATTTACACATATTTATACATGACTTAAACTTCCTTATATACTAACTGCTATGAAAGTTCACCGCTTGCGAGAAAGACTTATACACTTTAAATGTAAAAAAATCACTTCGTTCTCAATAATTAATACAATTATTGTTCATTGTTAGTCTTTAATATTGTAAGGTCTATTTTTTATTACATTTCCATAGTGAAAATTTTTTTTCTAACACACGCACCGAAGGTACAAGATTTCTTGCCAGTATAAATTGTTATATAATTTACACAACTTACGTAAGTTACATAACTTACGCAAGTTACGTAAATAACAAAAGTAAGTTACACAAATAAGTAAGTTAACTTACGTAAATTACGTAAGTTACGTAAATATAAGTTACGTAAATAATGTATGATACGTAAAAATATAAGTTACGTAAATAACGTAAGTTGCACTTACGTAAATAACTTAAGTTACGTAATGGGCGAATTATTGTAAATTGCACTAAGGGGCCGTCCATAAACCACGTAGCCCCATTTTTTGGGAATTTTGACCCCCCCCTCCCCCCATGTAGTACGCTATTACATGTATTAGCGCCATTTTTTCCTCTTGTCGTAGTCAATTGCTTGACCCCCCCTCCCCCTCAAGAGGCTACGTGGTTTATGGATGGCCCCTAATTAGGCAACTTACGTACTTTACGCAAGTCATGAATTACAAACAAAAATTATTTTAGTTGAAAATTTTCTTTTTTAACTTTACAACAGTCATTTGTAATCAGAAATATAGCAATAGTAGTCTTTACGAAGAACTATAGTAAAATAAGAAGGCAAGGCAGCCGCGGTCACCTTATTTTACAATAGTCCTGTTGTAAAGGCTACTACAGTCTGTATCACTGATTTCCTTAGACCGCTACAAATGTGAACAGTATCCAAGATTTCCTTTTAACGTAGACTATTGTAATTATAACAAGTCTCTGCGTGAATGCCTACAGTACCCTTTCTGAACCTGTACATCTAAACTATTAATGATTCCAAAAAATAAATTTCAACACGATTAATACAGTGTTTGGATTCATTAAAGTAACTATAGTAATCGCTCCTACTAAATTCTTAATAAATGACATAGTTTTCGTAATCATTACAAAAAGTGGTCACATATCCGAGCTGTAATATAGACTATTGTAATCATTACGAAAGAAATTTTCTCCGTGCAAATTTTAATATAAGCAATCTAAATGAATATAAAAAATTTGTAAATTTTCAGATAACTTTCATGAAACCAGTGCGAGGAGTGTTCAATCAAGAATAGAAAAATGGTTAAATATGAAAATGGAAGATGTACGTGAACAATGCGAATCAAATGATAAAACTCAATTGGAGAATGATGGGATAGCACAGTTTAATCGTCAGATTGATGAATACGTCGGAAAGGACGAAGATATGAATTTAAGTCATGAGGATTATTACTTTAATGTCACATACAATCCAAAAATGCTCCAAGCTTTGAAAAATGTTATTAAAAATATTCAAAATTGCCTTGATGAAGATGATCGGCTTAAACCTGAAGAGTTAGTCGTCGTCATTAACAAAGTCCTCACAATGCACGCCAATAGAGTATTAAAGAGTAAGTATAAATTAATATTTACCTGGGTTTAAATAAATTATATAATTACAGCATTTTGAGTATTTTAATTTCATTACATAACGTTACAATTTTATAATAAATTTACCTCCTAAGGTAATGTTACACATTGCGAAAAATTTTTAAGGTTATGTGCTTTTAATTACCTATCTTTTTAGGCTGTAGGTAAATACTTCCCACTGCCCACATTCACTTCCTACCTTCATTTTTCTACTCCCACTTTCCCCTCTCACTTCCCATCTTTAATTTTCCACTCCCACTTTACAATCTGTCTTTCCATGGGTCGTCGTAAGGTTAGATCCACAGACCATCATGGAATGAAAGAGAAGCAACAGAAGAAGGCTAATTTCGTCTGACCTAGACAACAAAGAATTTAACGAAGATTGCGTTAATTGCGCTCAGATACCGAAGGGGAAGCCGAGTGCTTTCTGAAGATTGGAGGGAAAGTCGCAAAGATGATTAAGTCTTGGAACATCAAAAAGAATGTAAATAGGACGATCAAAGGCGAGTTTAGAACCCTTCAGAAACTAATTAATACTGTTGAGAAAAATCAGCAGCAACAGATAGAAAAGCTATTTAGACTTGGGGAATTTTCTAAGCTTGACAGCATGTAATCGGAAGGACCAAAAAGAGCAGAAAGAGAATAAAAAGAGCAAAAAGAGTGGGTATTTATGAAAGACGGCTTAGGCTCGCAGTTATGACGGAGAAGCTCTGCAAGTTCTGAAGGAATGATCGCCGATACGTAGAAGCAAAGACCAGAGGAAGCACTATTTAAGGAGACTATTAAGGCAATAGAGACACCGAAGCCAAAGCAGAAAAGTAAAACGACCAGAAGATTGCCAATGTTAATAAAAGTCGTCGAAGGTATGTCGTTTGCTGACGTTCTAAATAAACTCCGGAAGGATGTCATCAAAGGCAACAAAAACAGAAGACCTTTCGATTCAGTTTGGAGGAGACTCCAGCAAGAAGGCTTCATTCGCGGAAATTGATAAGACTCCGGGAACATAGGTAAGGTAAAGTTGGTTGATCAACTTGGATTCTTTACCCAAAAAGATGAAGTCATCCCTGGTTAAAAAACTGGACAGATTTCGGACTAATCAGAAATTTGTCCGAAACAGTGCGGTTTATGGTCAGGTTTTTTTTCACCCGAAATTAATCCGGATACGTCCGAACTCTATACGGTTTGTGAACAACTAGTGAATTCGGAGTTGGTCGGAATTATCGTAATTATATTACGGACTGAATTCATAGACATTCAGGATTACTCGGATTCAGATTTTCGTTCGGATTGATATCAGACTAATGCGGATCATTTTCGGACCTTTTTCGGACTAATCCGTACTACTCTGTTCATAATTATTTAATCCGGAATTAGTCCGAAATTTTTACCAGGGGTCCATAAAGTAATGGAACAGGAAAACTGGAATTCAAAAAGCCTAAAAACAGGGAAGTGATAATCCTAGAATACCACAAGCAAGGGATGAAACTCGGAAGTTGTTGTCCCAAACCAAGAAGAAGTGGAAAGACTATGAAGAAATTTGGGTATAAAGGCGTTTAGCATTATTTAAATTATACTTAACTATGCATTTTAACTCACCGAACTGATTCAGCAGATTCTGCAATAAAAAGAGTCCACCGGACCTTGAAACCTTGAAAACCTTGAAATGGACGTGAATTTTGTCAAACCTTGAAAAAACCGTGAATTTTTTTAAAAACCTTGAATTTTAGTATTATATATTATTAAAACTGAAAAAAAATTTTCTTGACCATTTTCAAAATTTTATTTTTTGAAAAAATTAAAATTTTTCAAGGTTGCCACAGGTCAGGGAATTCAGGGAAAAGTCAGGAAAAGTAAAATTGGTCAGGGAAGTCAGGGATTTTTATTTAAGTAACTGGAAAAAATTGAATTTTGGAGAAGTTACAAATAATTGCAGAAATTCAATTATTTTCAAAAGTAATAAAATTCTTCGCAGAAATTCAATTATGTTCAAAAATTAAAAAAAATTCTCATAAAAATTCAATTATCTTTAAAAATAATCAAATTCTTTCTCCAAATTTCAATTATTTTCAAATATTTTAATAAAATTCTTTGCAAAATTTCAATTATTTTCATAAAAATTTTCTCAATTTAATGATTTTCAATATCTATAGTTTTAATAAAATTTTTCAAAAGAATTCAATTATTTAAAAAAAAAATTTTGATAAAATTCTAAGCAAACTTTGGAATAATTCAATTATTTTCATAAATAATAACTTTTTTTTACAAAAATTCAATTATTTTCATAAATAATAACATTTTTTTAAAAAAATTCAATTATTTTCATGAATAATAAAATTCATCAAAGAATTTCAATTATTTTTAATGCAATTATAATTGAATTCCTCTAAAAATTTAATTATTCTTGAAAATTTTATTAAAATTTCTCGAAAAAATCAAATTTGTTGATAAAATTCTTTATGATAATTTAGTTTCGAAAAACATTCATTTATTAAAGAAATTATTTATTTTTGTATTTAAATAATTGAATTCTTGTAGAATTTTACAATAAAAATTGATTTGAAAATGAATATTAGTTAAAATTTTAGATAATAATTGAATATTAAAAGCATTATAGCATGAATTTTTAAAAATACATAATTGATAAAATACATAATTGAATTCTTTCGAAGAATTTTAACAAAATTTTTGAAAATAGTGACATTTTTCGAAGAACTTACTTAAAATTGTATTAAAAATAATTGAAATCCTGTGAAGAATTTTATTAATTTATGAAAGTAATTAAATTCTTGCAATGAATTTTTTCCAATTTTTTTTTTAAATAATTGAAATAATGTAAAGAATCTTACTATTTATGAAAATAATTGAATTCCTGCATCGAATTTTATAACATTTTTTTAAATAATTGAATTCTTTTGAAAACTTTTATTAAAAAAGTATAGATTGTGAAAATATTTGAAATTCAACGAAGAATTTCATTATATTCGTGAAGTGTAATTAAATTTCTACAAAAAAATTAAGAGAATAATTCTATTTTTCTAGGAATTTACTTTAAATTGTATTATAAATAATTGAAATCTTCAAAAAAGTTTTATAATTTATGAAAATAATGGAATTCTTACAACGAATTTTATCAATTTTTTTTTAAATAATTGAATTCATGTGGAAAATATTAATACTTGTAAAAATAATTGAATTTATGCAACGAATTTTATTACATTTTATTTAAATAATTATATTCTTTTGAAAACTTGTATTAAAAATGTAAATTTTGAAAATTTTTGAATTTCTGAGAAGAATTCCATTATTTGTAAAATGTAGGGGAGAGTCTCCAGTTGTGAGACGGGTTTCATTTTTGACCCGTAAATTGTAAACAGGTAAACGAAATTGTAAATAAAATACACCGTTCGAAAGGTAACAGAAATACGCAACTTTTATTAAAAGAAAGTATAGTGTTTCGATGAACTCAAAAAATTGTACGATACATTTTCCGAGCACATCGCTTTTTTCAAAAAAAAAAAATGTCTCCAGTTGTGAGACACTCATTAAAAATTGCTAAAATTTAATAAGTTTGACATAAAACGTTATGTTTAGTAGAAATAATTAAATATATTAATAATATATATTATTATATACTAAATAATAATATTTATTCGCCAAAATATGAATATCAAATAAACACAATTTAATAGCTTCAACAAGAGCATTAAAATTGATTTCTTCTGAATCAATTGACTTTTTTCCACTTGACATGCCCAAAAATACTAGAAAAAAAAATCAAAACAACATTTAAATAGTATGTCTGCAAAGTCGTATTTTTTATGCTGCCCAGATGGGTGTTGACACCGTCTCACAACTGGTGATATGCTGTGTCTCACACCCAGAAATTGGCGCTATTTTGAAAAAGGAAAATTAAATTATTTTCAACCGTAGATTGGAACAATGCAATATTGCATCACAAAATATAAGGAAAAGTCTAAAAGAAAATGCATTACATTTACCTTTTCCAATTAATTACCTTGGAAAAAAAGTACTTTGCATTTATTGAAAAAACGCTTTTTAGTCGATTATCACACACAGTGTTGGTATTTAACAAAAACAGTTTATATATCCGCTTCGGCGTACATGAAAAAGTTGGCTCATGTAAAAAGAAATGTTTTTATATAAACCAATCGGATTTTTAATATTGCATGTTAAAAAAAATTGACTGTCTCACAACTGGAGGTGTCTCACAACTGGAGACTCTCCCCTACCTAATTTAATTCTTGCAAAAAATGTTTGAAGATAATTTTATTTTTCGAGAAATTTATTTAAAATTGTATTAAAAATAATTGAAACCATGCGAAGAATTTTATTATTTATGAAAATAATTGAATTCTTGCAACGAATTTTATTATAATTTTTGTAAATAATTTAACTTTTTTTTTGAAAAATTTTATGGAAATTAAAATTTTTATAAAACATGAAGATATCAATCACTCCGAGTCTTTCGACTCGGAGTAATTGATATCTTCATGTTTTATAATAATATTCTTATAAGTTGTCGTTGAATTTAGAAAATGTTTGAATTTGAATGTTTTGAAGAATTTTAATTCCTATGGAAGAATAATAATTAAATACTTATTTAAAAATTTAGTTATTGCTGTTTGCGAATAATTTTACAATTTAAGAAATTCGTAAGTAAATGTAATAGAATGTTTTTTGGAGTATCTAATAATTTTTAGAGTGAATCAGAATATTCTTTATGGTCAGGGAAAAAGTGAAAATTTTGTCTGGAAATCAGAGAAAAGTCAGGGAAAAATAAAATTAAATATATTTGTGGCAACCCTGAATTTTTTAAAATCTATACAATTGATTGTTCAGAACCATAAGAAAAGCCTATAAAAAATAATAAAAAATGTGGAAGTAGTTGAATTTTTTAAGTATTATACTATAGTAAAATTTGAACCGACAAAAAAACCTTGAAAATTTCCTAGAAACCTTGTAAAAACCGGGAAATAGACGTGAATTTTATTCACGAGTTTTGGTGGCCACCCTGATTACAATTATTTATCCATAATTTCAAAACAATTTCTTTTCTGTTTTAGTTTCTCCCACTATTCAAAATGACATCACAGATTGTTTCCCAGTTATGAAATTGGAACAATGTGCAAAACCCTATATGCACTTGGTTCGTGGGGGTCCCGGTTTTTCTAATCGCCAATTGACCATTTTACAAGTTCTTGTTCCAGCTTACGTTATATCATCGTCTTGCACGTAAGTTCCAAATATACAATTTATTTAATTCAATCATAATTATCATTATAGTAACCCTAACAGCATCTGGACGTCTTCACAATATCTGGAAATTAGGAAATCCGTAAGATGTCACGGGGAACATCTTAAGGACATCCTAATTTCAACATATTACTAGGACGTTCGTAAGATATCCTGAAATATCCGTTGCTCTTAGGGTATAAAATTATATGATTAGTTTTATATTTCCACTTTATTGAAACACGAAATAATTAATTAATCTATTGTAAATTAAATGTTGTACTTTAATTTTAGTATAAATTTAATGAATTTAATTTTAGTATCCCCATATGTTGAATTATTTAAATTATTTTCAGGGAAGTATATCCATTAGAACAATGCTTCATGAAATACATGCATAAGTGTAGTGGAAACGCAAAAAGATATTTTCAAGTTGTTCTCTCACCGTCGTATGTTATTGATGGAATTTGTGAAAATTTTCTACAAAGCACTGACATTGATATAAGTGAGGAAATTAATGATATCTTTCATAAAGAAGGTGATGCTCATGATGATCATGATGACAATAATGATGATTCCTTAAAACGCCTATTTCACATGTAACAAACCTAATTACCATTTTTTTGAAACTAAATAGCCTATCTAAAAATGGCGAAAAATTAAATTAATGAAAATTTATAATTACACTGTATTATTTTAGTTAATAAAAAAAAATTTCTTCTGTGTAATAGAAAATGTTTTATCAAAAAAAAGTATAAAAAATAAATTATTAAAGAACATTACGTTAATTAAAAATGAAAATAGAAATTTTTTTCGTGTAATCTTTTGAGAGGAAGGGTTCAGGTGTTTACAGGGAAATTCGCGCGGTATTCGCGAAACGAGCTTTGTCGTTATTTGCATACATTCTCATTAGATGCGACGCGACATTATAATTTGAATATTGTGAGTAACTTCTCTATGATGAGATGTAATTCAGACGTCAGAGAGTGAACGATTTTCAGGATGTATGCATATAATATTACCTTCCTGTGGTTGCATAACGAGCTAAGACAAGTTTTTCTTTGTTGCTGAGAAATTTTCTTTTATTCTCCCTAACAAAAAGCTTTTCTTTTTCATCGTTATTATTATTATACCTCTATGCTTGTTAATAAATAATGATTGGAATACTATTTTACGTCTTTTAATATTCAATCATGACAATTTTTTAAAGAGAAAAATGAATATTATTTACAGAACCGAATAGGGTCTTAACCCATTGACTAACCTCTGAAAATTTGTGTTTAATTAAAGATTTAATTTCATATACTGAAAATGCTCCCTGCAAGTAACTGAAGTGTTTCTTTATGTTTTCGGGGTCGCTCTACAAGATTCCGGGCTCAGATTATAAATTTATCAAAAGCAAATTAAATATGGCGAATTTTGTGCAGCAAATTGCAAAAAAATGAATAATTTTTTGTTTAAATAATTATTTCTTACTGAAAACATTTTTTTCACACGAATACAAGTGTCACAATTTGGCAAAAACTTATTAAACTTTTAAAATATGCAATAGCGGAAATAAAAAAAAAGAAATGGCGGCTTCAAAATGGCGTTAATTTGAGAAAAAAATTATTTAATTCTTTTTATGGTGCACCGAAATTTACCATGGCTATGAAATGTAATAGAACTTAGTGTTTATATGTTTTTGAGGTCGTTCATGACGAATATATAATCGGATTTTCAAAATTCAAAATGGCGGATCCAATATGGCCGACAAATTTTTTTAATTTGCCGTTTCTTAATATTTTTGTGGAAAATTCTCAATTTTCATAAGGAAATAATTTGCATCAATTCTATTTCTTAATTTCAATTGCTTTAATAAAATTCAAAGTTTTTTAAAAATAAAGAAAAAAAATGTTTATAAATTATATTTGTCAATTAGAAAATTTAAATGAAAATGAAACTGAAAATTTTTGAATTTTTAGAACATAAAGAAAAGAAATTTAATTGAAAAAAATTTTCTCTTAAATTTATTTACATATAAGGTAAAAGCACCAGTACGTGGACATTGCAAAAAATGGAACCAATAGATGGACAGTAACAAAAAGAATTAAAACTTCTTTCAATGTAAATGAAAAAATAATGTATGATGTTTTTTAATGTTAGCTTTTGGATCTCTGTTGGTTATTATTCATTTTTTTAATTTCTAAGCACAAAATTTATAAAAAAAAAATTATAAGTCTCGAGCTACTCAAAATGAGTGTCCAAATTTACCTTCTGCTTCATAACCTCAAAAACCAGCAGCACCAGTAGTTGGACAACAACTTAACAGGCTTTAATCTAATTAAATAATGAATTAATTGACATAAAATTACTAACCAATTTAATAGTTGACAATATTAACTAATATACAAATGCAAACATTATATGCAAATAAATATCATGCGTATTTTCTTATAAATGTCCAACTATTGGTCCCTTATCTTGTCCAACTACTGGACCGACTGGGCCCTCTAAAAAGGCATGTCCAACTATTACGGTAAAGAAGCAATTAGTTATTTTCTAGATTTATATTTAACTAAAGTAAAAATTTAGACTAATTTTTTTTAATTTTAATTCTTTAATCATAATACAAACGAAATATAAAAAGTTTGTCAAGTAAAACTATACTATCTTTGTAAAAATCGTTGCTAAATTTGCTTCTATCTTAAAAGTGTCCAAGTATACTGGTGCTTTTACCTTACCTTTAATTGTAAAATTATTAGAAAATAATAATTACGTTTTTAAATATTTCAAATATTTAATTATTATTATTATTTTTTCATAGGAATTAGGATTTTCAAAAATTTCAAATTCAAACTTTTTTGAAAATAACCAACTTTAAAAATAACGATTACTCTGAGTCTTCGACTCGGAGTGATCGGTTTCTTTATGTATTATAATAATTAAAGAGGATCGAGTGTTACAAAATCATTATTTTATATTATAAGAATATTGTTACTGTAACTTCTTAAAAATTATTTTCATATTCTATTATTATCTAAAATTTAAAATAAAATTCATTTTCAAATCAATTTTTATTAGAAAATTCTTCGAGAATTCAATTATTTAAATACAAAAGTAAATTACTTATCAAATAATTGAATGTTTCTTAAAATTTAATTCTTATAAAGAATTTTATTAACAAATTTTTAAATAATTGAATTCTTTTAAACAATTTTAATAAAATTTTTTAGAATAGTTACATTTATCAAGCGGAATTCAATTAAAATTGTATTAAAAATATTTGAAATTCTGCGATGAGTTTTATTATTTCTAAAAATAATTGAATTATTTAGAAGAAACTTATAAAAATTTGTAAATATTTAAATTCCTGTGAAATTTTTATTATTTATAAAAAAAATTAAATGTTTGCGTGCAATTTTATTAAAATTGTTTTTAAATAATTGAATTCTTTTCGGTAATTTTATTAAAATATAAAATATTGAAAATCATTGAAATGAGAAAATTTTTTGAAAATAATTGAAATTTTGACAATTGAAAATAATTGAATTTTTAAGAAGAATTTTTTTTATTTATAAAGATAATAATTGGGATTTTGTCGAAATTTTTTTGTAAGTTTTGAACATAATTGGATTTTCTGATAAGAATTTTTTTTAATTTTTGAAAATAATTGAATTTCTGCAATCATTTGTAACCTCTTCAAAATTCAATTTTTTTATTGTTTTTAACTAAAATTATTCTATGCATCTATAAATTTCAACTACTTGAAAAAAATTGAAACTCGAGGAATTTGTTGTTCTATCAAGTAGAAATGTGACCCAAAAAATATTTTTGAATTTTTAAAAAAATTGGAGGGGGTAGAGGGGGGTCAATTTGACCAATTTTGCCAACATCGGCTACTTTGTGAATTTTTTCTGAACATACTTGTAATGGGAAAAATTTTTTAGAATATGTTTCTGAAAGGTTTTTTCGTCCTCTTTCCAATGGTGTATTTTATTTTTTAATATTTAAAAAATTTACCCTAATTTTTGATAGTTAATATTTAATTATCAATTTCCCAAAAATCGGTCCGTCTTTTTTGAAAATAAATTATTGCAAACGAAAGCTGAGGTTTTTTCCTATTATGTAAATTTTCAGAATGCCCTTTTTTTGTTTTTGAGTTATTAAATTTCAAAGAATAAATTGCGTCCCGGGCGCCTCGTCTCACGCCGGTTGCCACGCGGCTCAGTACAACCGCGACGCAGCGCGCTGCAATTTATTCTTTGAAATTTAATAACTCAAAAACAAAAAAAGGGCATTCTGAAAATTTACATGTCGATAGGAAAAAACCTCAGCTTTCGTTTACAATAATTTATTTAAAAAAAAAACGGACCGATTTTTGGGAAATTGAAAATTAAATATAAATTATCAAAAATTAGGGTAAATTTTTAAAATATTAAAAAATAAAATACACCATTGGAAAGAGGACGAAAAAACCTTTCAGAAACATATTCTAAAAAATTTTTCCCATTACAAGTATGTTCAGAAAAAATTCACAAAGTAGCCGATGTTGGCAAAATTGGTCAAATTGACCCCCTTCTACCCCCTCCAATTTTTTGAAAAAATCCAAAATATTTTTTGGGTCACATTTCTACTTGATAGAACAACAAATTCCTCGAGTTTCAATTTTTTTCAAGAAGTTGAAATTTCAATTTAAGACATTTCACGTAAAATGCCTCATATATATATATATATATATATACCCAGATAACCAGCGTACTATTACTGTACCAGCCATGTACCTTCGCACTGTACCAGGTACTGTACTGGTATGTCGTACTGATAATGGTGGAGAAGCATTGGAAATTCATAACCTAAAATCCCAATTAGTACGACGAACTGGTATTATACCTATTATTATATTCGTACTGAGTACTTTGGCAATTCTAGAATTCTAACCGTACAACATACCATTTTTATACTAGTATCGTACTAGTATGTTCATACTCTATTATTTCGTACAAGTACAATATGAGTACGATACTAATACGCTGTACTAAAAAATAATGTACCTTCGCACTGTACCACACTGAAAAAAATTCTTAGTAAATTTGACTACTTTTTAACTACTTTTCTTAGTTCAATAAGTCCCCAAAGATATTTTTGAACTTACATTTATTATTAGACATGTAGTTGAATGAAGTGATAATACAGTTGCATTAACTACTTTTCTTAGTTAAATAGGAACCAATGACAGTTTTACAGTAAAATTAACTGCTGATTTGTAGTTAAAGTTACTAAGATAACTCAGTAGTAAAGACAACTACTTAAAATGGTAAAATAAAATTATTTATAATTTATTATAAATATTATCGAGTTGTATTTTTCATATTTTTCCGTACCCACTTTTATACCTGTACCTTATATATTTAATGTAAATATACCTAACGGAGAAAAAATCTCTAAACGTCGGGAGTTGAACGCTCGACCCTAAGATTCGTAAACCGATAACCTAACCACCTAACCACGCTCGCCCGCTACGATGACTTGCTTAATACTTAAAGGCATTCCTGACACAGTTCAACTGATAACTGTAGTTAATTTTACTACTTAAAGTAGTTGCATTTACAACTTTTCACAGTTGCTAATCTTCTATAAAAACCTATAACATAAATTACATGGAAAATTATTTAACTCCTAGAAGAAGTAAAAACTACTACAAAATTAGTCTATCGAACTACTTTAAGTAGTAGGATCTACTACTTTCTGTAGTCATTTCTGTAACATACCTGCAGTTACAAAGTTAACTGTAAAATTACATTAATTTAATTAATAATTTTTAACTACATAAAACAGTTAAAATAAGTATCAAAAGTAGTCAGACTAACTAAAAAAGTAGTTCTTTTTATTACTTTTTACTCTACTAAGGGGATGTAGTTGAAAATGTCTCATGAATTTTTTTCAGTGCAGGTACTGTACTGGTATATCGTACAGATAATGGCGGAAAAGCATTGTAAATTGATAACCTAAAATTCCAATTAGAATAATTAATTAATTAATTAATTAATTAATAAATAATAATAATAATAATAATAATAATAATAATAATAATAATAATTAATTAATTAATTTATTAATTTATATATATATATATATATATATATATATATATATATATATATATATATATATATATATATATATATATATATTGACAAATTTAACTAATTTTAGAAGATTTTGAATTATTAAAATTTTTCAAAAATTTAAATTTTTTAAAATTTCTAATTAAATCCATTTAACATTGAAATTTTATAAAACTTCACATCGAAAACGTTTGAAGTTCAAATATTTTTATTTGTGAAAATTGTAAACGCAACTCTTTTAAAATTGAATTAATTTTAAAATATTTAAGTAAAATTCATTAAATAATTTATTTATTTTATGATAGTTGTTTAAGATTTAGGTTATTTAAAGAGAAATTTTTGTCAGAAATTTAAAAAATTGAAGGTTTTGTATTAGAATTCGTGGTAATTTTCTAGTTTATTGAGTCGAACAAAAAAGTCCCAAAAATTCAGAATTTTCTTATGAATTCTAAAAAGTTTAATTTTTTTTAGTACTTTTAATAAAAATTCCTGACTTTTCCCTGAATTCCCTATTTCAGAATATATGATTATTGTAATTATAATAATATTAAAACTATATATATTCCTATTCATTTTACAAGAGAGAAGGATTCAAATATTTTGACTTCGAAAAATATTATTTTATAAATGTAATATATATATATATATATATATATATATATATATTACACACTAAAAAAAAAGTTTTACTTTCAGCAAGGACTTATGTGAAATACATGGGCTGAATTTAAGGTGTAAACGGAGTCAGACTTTTTTTTTCCTGTGTATCTTAAAATCCTGTTCAATTATGAAGAGGAAAAAACATTTCTTTCTTAATCTGTAATATGACACAGGTAATTTATTAAAAAAAATAAATGGGATACATCTTTTTTAAAAATAGATAATTACCGTCATAAACTTGGACTTAACTAAGGTTTTTAATGAGCTAAAGAAAAAGAAATTTAAAATTAACCCGTTATCTCGGTGCTTTTTATTGATCAACTCGACGTAGTGGAAGTCGAGTAAAGGGAGCTGTGCGGCAAGGAACTAAGAATATAAAAGAAGAGCAGTGAGCGCACAACCGCAGGGGATGTCTTGTTAAATTTAACCGTCCATTGCAAATGCGACGACGAGCATTTAATCTTTCGTGGCCAATCATGCCATTTCAGTGCAAACGGCAATCGTCGAATGCGACAGGACAAAAAGGAGTTTCGTAGACGAAGATGGAAAGACGAGAAATGAAAAGGCGTACCGGGAGATGGAAAGGGAATGAGGAAATAGTAAGTTCATTTAGGAAAGCCATGGTATAAGAATAACTGACTAATTTACAAATGAGTAGCTATATGGTTAATATTATATTCTAATAGAGGCGAAAATTATTTTCAAGTTAAAAAAAAAATATTTACAGTCGGGTCCCCATACTGTTACATTTCCAGAAATTTCCCACTCCTATTAAAGCAATAAGGATCCGATGATACAAAGATATCAAACAATGGATTGATTTATGGATTGTCACAAAAAATGAACAATTCGAGCTCTACCACACGGAGAGACAGAGATTACTAATTTCTGTATAAAATCACACTAGAATTTACTATTTTCACATTGCAACCACCGGAAATAAGGGGACTTTTTGTATTTTTTACTATTTTCTACACTAAGTCACTAATCTGACAAATGTTCACCAAATTATCAAAGTTTCTTACTATTTCGTCCAATAGTTCCAAACAACTGTAGTAAACTCAAAAGCATTGTGTACGTAAAATTACTATAGTCGTTGTAAATGCAGAAAGAAATAGTGAAAGAAAAAATACGGATTTCTGTCGCCGGTTTCCCGTCAATTCTTGACTAATGGAGGTAAACTGGAAGGATTTTTACATACACAGACAGACACACACACACACACACTTATATATTTTTTGGATAAATATTTGAAGACACACACATGTTTATTTATAGATAAATATATGTATAGACGCGGTTAATTAATACACTATAATACACAACTGCACGCACGACAACGAATTTCACTGAAAGTATGCATCTTTGTTTCCTTATATATTGAATGATGAAAATTTACAGCACTTACGAGAAAGCAGTTTACTTTTAACAACTTATTATAAGACATAGTTCTTTGGGACAGGAATAAATGCAAAATTTATTAATTTATAATGGTCAATTTCTGAGATACCGAACGACCTACGTTTCACTTTATATTTAATTATTGTAGATAATATCCAAATTTATTTTACATACGCGAAACATAGTCACTGTCAATGATCGGATGGCATCGGCTCATTTACGGAGATTGACGAAGTTAGCAACCAATAGAAATGCAGGCGCCATATGACTGCACTCGCTAGCCACACTTGCTCACCAAAAATTACTAAATACATGCGGCTACTTGACCTTCGGGGACTAAAAGGCCAATAACCAAAACCAAATCAAACCAAAAATTACTACAGTGGATAGTAGGTTTTAGTGGAAAATGTTTTTATTTGTTAGATTTTGTCTAATTAAATTAGAGAAAGCTATAATCAATTTTTGCTACATTTACAACTCTTACACAAAATATTAAAACTTGCTATTTCAATGTAGCAAATTTATCTATTTCTTTTGTAAATTTATCTAATTCTGTAGTACATTATGCTAAAAGTCCCCTTATTTCCGGTCATTGCAACCATTTTTAGTAATTTTTACGAATGTGGGTCTCTCCGTGCAGAAAGATAAAAAAAGTTGTAGCTAACAATGAGGAATACTTTAATTTATTTATTTAAACAATATATACGGGCTTATACAATAATAAAAATAAATGACCTTTCGTACAAATGTAGGGGAAAGGTGTACGAGATGATCCCTTGGGGCAAGATGATCCTTTTCAATTTTGGAGAGCCTATTAGCGCCACCTTTTAGGCAAATACAGTAATACGTTGCCAATGACATACCTATGAATCAGTCAAACTGTCATGACAACACGCGTCATTAAAAAAATTCTATTGGAAAAAATAAAAATTTCATACTTTTGATCTAAGGAAAGCTTAACTTTGGGCTTAGATAACTTTTGTTGTAGTAGCTGAAATTCCATGTTTCTTGTACTCACGGCTTCAGTATATCTTCAACTAAGTGTTCTGATTGGTATTATGGAATAACAGAGCTCGTAGGTTAAGTTACGAAAAAATTACAAAATAGTGGCATTTGGGGCAAGATGATCCCTCAATGGGTGTACAAGATGATCCCCCCTAATTCCCATGTATTTCGTCTCACCTCAAAGTGAATTTTCTAGTATTAATAAAAAATTTAATTTTTCTCGCTTCTTATATGTTTTTATCATGAAAACTAACTTATCTAAAACAAAAAGTTGACATCCTCATCTATTTTGTTAATTTTCTTGTTGTAGACAATGCCTCGTAATTATAAAATAGGAAAACGATTCGTGGTGAGTGGTCAAAAGCGTTTATGGCCTAAATAAAGTATATTTAACATTGATACACTGATATTCCTTCAATATAGACTCCTTTTCCAATAATTGGGGAAGATCATGGGGATCATGGGGACTATGGGGATCATCTTGGACACCCCGGGGTCCAAGATGATCCTTTTGTAAGGTTTTAGAAAAATTAAATTTAACAGTAAAATATTAATTAGCTGCAAATATTTCAAATCAGGATAGTTAGATAGATTAATTATCTAGTAGTGCGTACAAAAAAAACTCGAATATGTTGATTTTTCTTTGAATAATAGGTTTTTTCCCTTAGGGGGATCATCTCGTACACCTTTCCCCTACTATTTATGAATAAATTTAATGCTAAGCGACATGTTAAGTTAGACATTACTCTAAATATTTATAATCTTTTTTTCACAATAAAGTTGCATTTTCGTAAAGAAAACATTAAAATCTCAGTTGCGCACCCAATAGTTAATTTAAATATTAAAATAAAAAAATATAACATATTCTCTTTTTCATATTTTAATTTAAAAAAACAATTGTAATTTTTTCCTTCAAACAGTTATAAAATAAAATAATAAAATTTTACAGATTAGTCTTAAAAATATTCATATACATTACTTTTTTATCGTTTAACGTTTTAACTGTATTTTTTGTATTATTGGTTATCTTGTAAATAAAAAAGTGACAATATTAAATATAATCTATGCTCATTTGAAAATTGTCAAATCTTTAGAAATAGGAAGTATTTCCAAGTGACTTATTCAGTTCTTATTTTGCAACGTGGCATTTCTTACAAAACGACTTTAAATAATAAAGTGTGTCTAACTTGTTTTTTATTCAAAATAAGATGGAAAAGAAACTAAGAAACTGTCTGTTAGTAATTTTTTTCTAATTTTCGTATTTTAAATTAAACATATAAATAATTTTGATATTGTGTGTTACGAATTTTTACAGATTATTACTTTTGTTACTTCTATTCGGAGCAGGTTTCCCAACTTCATTATTCTTTTTGAATAATAGTAGTAAAAACGGTGAGTAACTTCAAAAATACGTTTTAACTTTACAAATCTACAAATCACACATTAATTTTTCTTGTCTATGAAACATTTACTCTTATCAAAGTATCATATTTTAATTAAATTTTAAGTAGACACTTTTGCTAAATACACATTAAATTTTCTTCTCTATAAATTTAAAAAAATTTAATTACTAGATGCACCTAGTGTTCCTAAGGAGGCACATGTGGATTTAAAACCAGGTAAGCAGTCACAAAAATACATTTAATTTAAATTTTTGAAAATTTAATTTGCTACACGGAGAGACCCACATTCGTAAAAATTACTAAAAATGGTTGCAATGACCGGAAATAAGGGGACTTTTAGCATAATGTACTACAGAATTAGATAAATTTACAAAAGAAATAGATAAATTTGCTACATTGAAATAGCAAGTTTTAATATTTTGTGTAAGAGTTGTAAATGTAGCAAAAATTGATTATAGTTTTCTCTAATTTAATTAGACAAAATCTGACAAATAAAAACATTTTCCACTAAAACCTACTATCCACTGTAGTAATTTTTGGTGAGCAAGTGTGGCTAGCGAGTACAGTCATATGGCGCCTGCATTTCTATTGGTTGCTAACTTCGTCAATCTCCGTAAATGAGCCGATGCCATCCGATCATTGACAGTGACTATGTTTCGCGTATGTAAAATAAATTTGGATATTATCTACAATAATTAAATATAAAGTGAAACGTAGGTCGTTCGGTATCTCAGAAATTGACCATTATAAATTAATAAATTTTGCATTTATTCCTGTCCCAAGAACTATGTCTTATAATAAGTTGTTAAAAGTAAACTGCTTTCTCGTAAGTGCTGTAAATTTTCATCATTCAATATATAAGGAAACAAAGATGCATACTTTCAGTGAAATTCGTTGTCGTGCGTGCAGTTGTGTATTAGTGTATTAATTAACCGCGTCTATACATATATTTATCTATAAATAAACATGTGTGTGTCTTCAAATATTTATCCAAAAAATATATAAGTGTGTGTGTGTGTGTCTGTCTGTGTATGTAAAAATCCTTCCAGTTTACCTCCATTAGTCAAGAATTGACGGGAAACCGGCGACAGAAATCCGTATTTTTTCTTTCACTATTTCTTTCTGCATTTACAACGACTATAGTAATTTTACGTACACAATGCTTCTGAGTTTACTACAGTTGTTTGGAACTATTGGACGAAATAGTAAGAAACTTTGATAATTTGGTGAACATTTGTCAGATTAGTGACTTAGTGTAGAAAATAGTAAAAAATACAAAAAGTCCCCTTATTTCCGGTGGTTGCAATGTGAAAATAGTAAATTCTAGTGTGATTTTATACAGAAATTAGTAATCTCGGTCTCTCCGTGTATGGTCTAAATAGTAATATGAGGCATTTTACGTGAAATGTCCTGAGTTGAAATTTCAACTTCTTAAAAAAAATTGAAACTCAGGGAATTTGTTGTTCTATCAAGTAGAAATGTGCCCCAAAAAATATTTTTGATTTTTTCGAAAATTTTGAGGGGGTAGAGGGGGGTCAATTTGACCAATTTTGCTAACACCGGCTACTTTGTGAATTTTTTCTGAACATACTTGTAATGGGAAAAAATTTTTAGAATATGTTTCTGAAAGGTTTTTTCGTCCTCTTTCCAATGGTGTATTTTATTTTTTAATATTTAAAAAATTTACCCTAATTTTTGATAATTTATATTTAATTTTCAATTTCCCAAAAATCGGTCCGTTTTTTTTATAATAAATTATTGCAAACGAAAGCTGAGGTTTTTTCCTATCGGCATGTAAATTTTCAGAATGCCTTTTTTTTGTTTTTAAGTTATTAAATTTCAAAGAATAAATTGCGTCCCGGGCGCCTCGTCTCACGCCGATTGCCACGCGGCTCAGTGCAACCGCGACGCAGCGCACCGCAATTCATTCTTTAAAATTTAATAACTCAAAAACAAAAAAAGGGCATTCCAAAAATTTACATGCCGATAGGAAAAAACCTCAGCTTTCGTTTGCAATAATTTATTTTTTAAAAAAACCAGGGTGGCCACATGTCAGTAAAGTCAGTAAAGTCAGGGAAATGTCAGGGAAAAAAATATTTTGTCAGTAAAGTCAAGGAAATGTCAGGAAAAACTTTTTTGTTAGGGCAATTAAAGAAATTAGACGGTCATGCAATACATTTTTTGCTCTAAACAAAAAAATTTTTGTCAGGGAAATTCGTTGTTATGTCAGTAAAATGTCAGGGAAATTGATAAAGTCAATCTTGCGGCCACCCTGAAAACGGACCGATTTTTGGGAAATTGAAAATTAAATATTAATTATCAAAAATTAGGGTAAATTTTTAAAATATTAAAAAATAAAATACTATGGAAAGAGGACGAAAAAACCTTTCAGAAACATATTCTAAAAATTTTTTCACATTACAAGTATGTTCAGAAAAAATTCACAAAGTAGCCGGTGTTAGCAAAATTGGTCAAATTGACCCCCCTCTACCCCCTCAAAATTTTCGAAAAAATCAAAAATATTTTTTGGGGCACATTTCTACTTGATAGGACAACAAATTCCCTGAGTTTAAATTTTTTTCAAGAAGTTGAAATATCAACTTAGGACATTTCACGTAAAATGCCTCACATTTAGATTAATATTTTAATGTAGTCATCTTTACAAATTACACATTAATTTAAAAATTTGTTTTTAATATTAGACGCATCTGATAGCGAGTCAGTAAGTGAGCTTAATAATCTATTAGGGAAAAATATTGAACCTGATGAAAGAAAAAATAATCGTTTTAATATTTTACTTGCCGACCATTTTGGAATTATTCGGTTCAATGGTGACATTCTCCAGGGACAGTACTATAAAGTGTATTGCCTAAATATAAATAGTAAAAAAGAAGAATTGGATAACTTAACAAACAATGATAATGAAATTTTGGTTAATAATCTCACTCCGTCAAGTACTTATCGTTTCGAATTTGTGGCTTGTAATGAAACAAGTTGTTCTGATCCTGTTGTAACTAAGGATTTTCAAACTGATCCAATTCCAGGTATACAATATCACTGAAAAAACCTAGGTTCAAATTGAGTAGCCTACGCTAGTCAATTTGAAACGCAACAAAAATGAACCTCGTAGGTGGCGCCACGTTTTATGGCGTTTTATGGCGTTAACATGGGCTCATTTTGAGTTGCAACAAATATGAACCCAGGTTTTTTGTGTGATTACTCATGAAATAACTACACGTATTAATAAAATATTAGGAACTTTAGTTAAAAAAATAATTTTTAGTTAATGTATGATGTAATGGAAAATATTTAATATAATGTAAAAAATTTTGAATAGTCGGAGATGAACGTAGTGGACCAAGCGAACTGAAAATAACAAACTTTACTGAAAAAGAATGTATGTTTCTTTGGAAGAAACCTATAAATAATACAAAGCTGCTAAAGTATTCACTCAAGGCATGGAAATATGATGAATTTCTAAATAAAAAGTCCCCAAAATTTGATTACATAAGTGTGGATGAGAAGGTTGAAATGTCTGAAACGCTTGAAAATCTACAACCTGCAACTAAATACATAATCGTTGTTAATACTGTTTATTTTAATGAATATGGTAATTCTAATGTAACAGCAGAATGTACTACCTTACATAAAAAATAGTACTGATCACCCTGTACAAAAGGGGAAATTTCAATTTCACTCGACTTTTATTGTGAAAATGTTATTTACAAGCAGATATATTAACATTGTAAACCTTAAAGTTTCTAAGGACTTTTATATTTGTAAGCTTTGTTCTTTAATTATTGTAGAATAAAATATAAATAGATAAAATGCACATTCCCAGATAAGGTCATAAATTTTTTTTACCCTGCAAACATAAAAATTCTGCTTTTAGATGTGAGATAATCAGACAACATTTATTTGAATTTTTAATTGACTGTTTGAAATTACGTAACCGTTGTTTTGAAATGACCTCTGCGACAGCTCGCGGTCAAATGAGTAGTTCCTGATCAAAGAGGCTTATTTATATTATCGGAAAGTCTTGCCTATTGTCCAATGTGACAAACGCTTCCCCCACTCTGCCCATATTTCTGCTAGTTGCGGACCAATGGCAAAAATCTTAGTTGGAAGCATACCTACAAAAAAATGAACTTCTGATCCAGATCGAAGGCAAATTCAACAAGAAGGATTTTGTCGTCCTGGTACTCGAAGCAGTTGAAAGCATTTTTAAAATGCAGTTTTGTGGATCGAAGTGTCACTTTCAAGATCTGCTACTTGGATTGCATTACTCAGGTAGAAAATATTCAGCCAGCTTAAAAAGAAGTCCTCGAGTATTCAAAAAAGCATGTAGTTAATGATCCTAGAATCCAAGAAACTAGAGATAAAGTTCATAGCTGTAGTTACTAACCAAAAAGAAGCCAATGGACTAAGAAGATTATTTCAAATACTGCATACAACAGTAGTAGGCAGGAAATGTGGCAAACCTAAATTAAAACTAATAAAACAAATAATTCTAACCGTTCAATTTTATAAATAATAAAAAACCAATTTCTCCCAAAGCGACAATTGCTAATTATTAAATTTACGATGAGACAATGCTAATAACTGTTCATAATAATAACAATAATATATGAAATATGTTGAATTCACATGACATAAATCAAAACCGTGTATAATAATATTATACAATGTTACCCTTGGGAAAGGTGGTTCCATATATTTCAGGGGGTGGGGGTAATGACGGTAGGTGGTGATGGTGGTAGAAACGAAAGGGGTTTAGTATGAAACGTGCAGGTTTGACACTTCCGACATTGCCGTGCGTAATTGAATTTATTTAAATTTAATATATAAATCGATTAGCATTTCAAAGACCTTTAACACCCAGATTTCTCCATACAGCAAACGACAATAATAAATTTTCAATAATAGTTTGTCATTTAAAATTTCCAAATGAATAATTCTAATAAAAGTGATTTACAAAGAATTTATTTTTCCCAAAATTTACATTAAAATTTAAAACAAACATATATAAACATTAAAAATGTATAATTCATTTAAATTTAAATAAATTTACTCAATCGAAGAAAAAAAGTAATGAAACACTTTTGTTTCTGTTATACATGATAATCATTTAGTATTAAAATCTAACTAGCAGCAATTCGCCTTTTTACGCGTGCGACTGACTTCTAAGTTTTTTAAATAAAATCAGCAATTTAAAAAAATAGAACGTAAAAATTTTTAAATTCAATTTTTTTAATAAAAATTGAAATATATAGTTTTAATATTATTATTATTATTATAATAATCATATATTCTGACATAGGGAATTCAGGGAAAAGTCAGGAATTTTTATTAAAAGTACTGAAAAAATTAAATTTTTAGAATTAATTAGAAAAAACTTGGTCAAATGACAAGTTAGTAGGGTAGAGCGGGACTAGTTGAGCATAGGGGTAAGTTGAGCAACCGAAATATCTCAGGCTCTATTTTAGCGGCCAATTTATAGAGCCTGAGATATTTCGGTTGCTCAACTTACCCCTATGCTCAACTAGCCCCGCTCTACCCTATAGCAAGTTAATATAAAAGTTAAAAATTTTAAAATAAATAGATCCCATCGTTTGCCCACAATCGGTCAATGCTTAAAAATTGTTAATTTAGTGCTAGTTTCTTACAAAAAATTTTGAAAAAAATTGATCAATACAAACATTGTTAAAAATGAAATGTTACTTAAAAAATTTTAAAATCTTATCGTAAATTATTTTAAGATTTTCTAAAAATATTTTTATTAAAAGCTACGTGTGGAAACAAAACTTTTCATTATAAGCATTTAAAAAAAAAATTTACGTGAAAAACGTCATTTCTCAAAAATCTGTATCTCCTGAACCGCTGTATGAAAAACTTTTTAAAAAATCATGGTAGCTCATTTTAAAGAGTACTAATAGAAAAAAGTGTTTAAAAAAATTTAAGATGCAAAAGCAAAATGATTTCCGACTTGGCGTGAAATGCCCCATATATATATATATATATATATATATATATATAAATAAAAAAATTCTTCTTCAAACTTCAATTATTTTCAAAAATTTGAATAAAATTCTTGTCAAAATTTCAATTATTTTCAAAAATTTTCCTCAATTCAATGATTTTCAATATTTACTATTTTAATAAAATTACCCAAAAGAATTGAATTATTTTAAAATAATAAACACAAACAACACATTATATAAAAAAATATACAATTAAATAAAAATAAAAATGTGTGGTGTAAAAAAATGTGAACATGCTGTCATCTTATGGCATAGAATATTTTCCATAGAGGTAGGAGCGTGAGAACAAATTTTTGATGCGGCTATACACTGTGAGACAAACTTAGTGTTTACGAAATACGGAGATTTAACATTTTTATAATGCGCTAGATACGAAGATTACAATAAGCGCGAATATTCATTTTAAAATATGGGTATAATATACTAGAGTGCTAATTAAAACAATTTAAGGTACCTATAACATCATGGTAAATTATGGATAGTCCTTCGGTGTCAGTTCTGAAATTAATGGCATTTCCATTTTTTACAATGTGGTACATTTCAAGAATATTTCTTTTTCTAAAATAATTAGCACTGTCTAAGATTTTAATATTATTAGAATTAAAATCAAAATTATGTTTAAAATTATGTGCTTGTCTGCATAATGCAGTTTTTGTGTGGTCTTTATTTTGAGAATAATTATGTTCATAGATTCTCTTCTTTAATTGTCTACTAGTTTGTCCAATGTATACACTGTGATACCGGTCACTGTGAGGAGGTGAGTGACTGGCTCAAAGGTGCGAGAGAAGCACAAAAAATAATATTAATGACCTTAGCGGCAGTAGTTGACAGAGCCGATCGGTGACGTCGACCTCGAACCCAAGCAGGGTTCTGAGAGACGAGGACCCGTTCTACTCCAGGTGTCGGGTACTTGAACCTAAGCAAGGTTCGAAGTACTGTCCCCTGGAGCCGGTTGTCAATGCTTGATAGTGCGAGAGAAGAAGCTCCGTTACCTCAAGGGCTACGTTCCCCTTGACCCAGAAGGTCCCGAGTGTGGGCCTTAAGTTGTCACGGAAAAACGTTAACCCTCGGGGTGGTGCAGAAGGTCACGAGGCCTTAAGACACCAGAGTTACTCCTCTTCTTTGCGTGGAATGTTTTCGAACCCAAAATATTCTTTCGTAAAATAATTGACAATTTATCCTTAAAAGGACTAATTGTCAATGTGAAATTTGTTTGCGTTATTTGTCCTGAAAAGGACAGGTTGGTAAATATGGTGAGGTTCCGCAGCTAGCGGAATAGAGAAGAGACGGCGTTTCCAAATTCCAAAATAAAATATTTATTCCAAATATTTCCCTGAGGAGGACGGCAGGCAGTTGACGGTATGTAGGCGACGAGGTGGCAGGCGAGGCGTCGTTGTTGAAGTGGCGGCGTGGCAGCGGCTGAGAGCGTCACTCGGCAGAGTGACAGTTGGCTGGCGAGAGCGCGGCGTCAGCGACGCCAGCGCAGGTGTCCGTGTCTCTCGTGTGAGAGACGTGTTGCTCCGTCGAAGTCTGGCGAGGTAAGAGAGTGAGTCAGGGAAAATGCGCGGTATTTATGCTCCTCTGCTGAGTCGCATCCGCGAAATCCCTTCCACCTTGGCAAGAGCCAATCAGCGCGTGAGTTGCCCCCACCCGTTCCGCGCAAGCGCGGTACGGTTGAGGTTTCAAGAGCGAGAGTTAGGCGAGCGGGAGACACAGGGCGGGTCAGACGTGTCTCCAGATTCTCCCGTAAAGGCGATGCACCGTGCCACTTTGCCTTTTACCGTCAACTTTGTACCGTACCTCCGGTACAAAAATCTAAGTTAAGGCTAAATTAAAAGTAAATGAATTTATTGACAATATTCTTTAATGTGATATTCGGTATTCTATCTAATATATTGTAAAAATATATTAGACAGAATTATAATACACATTAAATAATATTATGTGAGATAAAGAACAAAATTTATTATTTCCTTACGCACAAGAAGTGAGTGTAAAAAATTACACTTTAAAGGAATTTTCAAAGTTTATTAATATTTGATTAATTTTGCAATGAATTGCAAAATTGTCTCAAATATTAAAACTTGAAAAGTAACCAACTATAACAACTGTCACAATTTCCACATGGAATCTTATATACTACATTTGTTCTTTCAAATTTGGGGATTCTGTCCTTGGATGATCGTAAAAGAGAATTTTGGAATTTTTTAGTTATAGAAAAAATAATTGATATTTTTAATTTTTTACACAAAGTAGTTATTGCTTGTGAAATATAATTTACATAAGGTAAGACTAGGGTTCGTGATAAGTCAAAATCTTGGGTAATTATATCATTGTTATTCTTATTTGTCAAGTAGGTTATTCTTTTTTCGATGTTATCTTTTATGAAATCATATGGAAAATTGTTTTCTTATCTGAATTTTAACAATAAGGTCTACAACATACACTATATTACTTTTTGATTTTTAATTCAATTAAAAAAAAATTCTAAATTCGAATATCCTAAATATTTACTGTTTTCAAACAACTTTCATTTTTCTAATGCACTATATTATTAACAATAACACTGAAACAAATATTTTTTATTGGTATAAACAATTATAATCTATATAAACCTTAAAACAATAACGCAATTTCACCGAAAAAATCTTGGGGGGTAACGGGGAGCGAACCCGGGTCCCGCTGGATTAAAGTCGCACCGCTTAACGCACTCGGCCGTTCTACGCAATGGATACTGAGAATTAATAACCGCTGCACATATGTTTCAGTTCAGTGCCGTAACTAGAGATTATAACTTTTTAAGCATTGGTATATACTTTTAATATTTTCTATGTAATAAAACATTTTAGATGATTTTTTAATTATTATAAATATTTATTAATTAATTTTATTATTTAATATGAATTATTGATTATTAATTAATAATAATAAATTCATTAAATTTTTAATTAATAGAAAATTATAATTAAACTAAAATGGAATTTAAAAAAATTAATTTTTAACTAATTTTATTATTTTTATATTTATTATAAATGATTGTAAATATTTATCAATTAATTTTATTAATTAATATTATTAATTTATAATAATAAATTAATTCAATTTTTAATTAATAACAAATTAAAGTGAAAAGTTTAAAAATATTGGAAAGAATAAGAACAAATTTATCTCTAGCAAATAATCAGTCGAGCTGTCTAGTTATTAGACATTATTGCAGTGTCATCGACACGACAAACTTAGAACTATAATTTCTAGGAGTACTTTAAAGTAACATTGAAAAAACTAGACAGAACTTATGTCTAGCCAATATCAAATTCAGCTTGAATCTTTGACGAAGAGCGTTGGTCAGTAACTTTACAGTTATTTACCAGTCCACCTAGAATCAGCGTCCGTGACAAAAACTGTCCAGTAACTTGAACAATCGAGTGGCTCCATGACAAATTTTTACTAGGGTGATTACGAATATGATGTTTAATTGACAATTTGACAGTTGACAGCTGTCAACTTCTCTAAAAAGTGGTAGTTTTTATAAAAAAGACAGTAATAAGGTTTTTGAGGTCGTTGATTACGAATACGATATCAAATTTGAATTTTAACTGTTGACAGTTGTCAAAGAAACTGTCAACTTTCCAAATAATAAAAAATTATCGTCTTCGTTATTTTAATTTGTATAATAACAAAAAATTAATTTTTTTCGTATTTTTACTCTTGTTTCTTTTGACTTAAAAAAAAATTTTTTAACACTTCTAATCAACTTATGATTTTTTGGTTTTCACCATCTTAAAGAGCGTTTCAAACTCTATCCGAATCAACAAAAAAGTAAAAAATGATTTTTTGACACGTAAGGTCCCATTTCATAGACCAGGTCACATATATGCTTTTTCTATTTTTCTATTTATTATTTTGATATTTTTTTTAATCGTAATTTTTAAAAAATGTTCTAATTTGTAATATTAGTTTATTATAAATCATGAAAAAATAATATTGTTAAACAATATTTTTTAAAGAAAAGAAAATATAAAAGTATACACAGACACTAACTTCAAACTGCGGACAGAGTGAATGAAAGAATACGGAGATTAATATAGTTAATTATATGTAAATTAGAAAGGTACATTATATTTAATGCCTTCATTTGTTGAATTGGGAATTTTCATAATAGAGCGTACGTCAATATCTACTGGAATGTCGTGTTGGAGAGGAAATATTCGAGATATCTCTCTATGATGAGGTTGCGGATTACTGTTTTGAAATCTGTCTATGTCGCAATAGACGTTATTGTTACGATTGATTTATATGAGTTTCATTTACCCGTGTAGAAATTGCCCTACTAGGGCCATAGTAAGGAATGAAACGCCGCGCCCGATCAGGGCCAGATCGGGGCGACAAGAAAATGTGGATTTCCTGATCAGGGCCACATAGGGCGCGGCGTTTCATTCCCTAATAGGTCGGCCCTATCCGGCCCTGATCAGGGCCCCAGCGAAATTTCTACACGGGTAATATTAACTTTATTATTTGCAAGTTAATATTAATGTCTTTTGAAACTATCATAATAATTTACATCTATTTGATATTTCAAGAAATTAAAACAAACGATTTCGATTTGTATTGATTAAAAAGAACTTTTCATTTAACGTATACTTATTTTGTAATCAGTAATATTTGAAAAAAATATCCTTTCAAATCATATGTTGAATATAAAAATTTTCTTATTTACGATGGATATAGGGGCAATTTTTATTTTATGGAAATCACGAAAGAAATTTAAATTGAATCTTTAAAAAGTTATTTTTGAAAAGATTGAAAAAGAATTTATAAAAGTTTACATTAATTTTTCTAGTTTAAATATGTGTGGAAAATTTGTTCTTTCATCATCACATGTTCACTATTACATTCTTTCTTTCTCTCTTGCTTTAACTCTTTTCCTCCATTTCCTGACGTGGCGAAATTTATGAGATGTCCGTTACAGACCTGAAAACATACTTTCACACATGCCCTTAATTCAATGAAGAATAACGTGTATTGGTGCAAATGGATCGAGTCTGATTTTGAAATTCCGAAAAATACGAGCTGTTTAAACTAAATTCTAATCAATTTTTTTTTGCAATTGAACGTTTCAAAAAAACATCTTTCGTTATTGTTTTATAGTCTACAAATTAAATTGTCCTAGGTAATGTTTTAGATCGAATTGATTGAAATGATTATCTTGTTATTTGACAATGAGTTTAATTTATATATTTTTTTACAAATGACTGGATTAATTAATTAAATAGAAAGTTATGAAATAAAAAAATGAAAAATTTATAATATTCTCTTTCAGTTTATTTTAATTTTAAAAGGCATTTGTAATCTCTGTTTGTGACACATTTATGAAATTGAAGAATTACGCGTGTTTGAAAATTTTAGAATTTCATGTAATAAAAAAAATGTCTAAGTGGCGCATTTAACTTTTATTCTGTTACGTGGCACTTTTTACCAAAAGACAGCAAATAATAAAGTTCGTCTATTTTTTTCTACTTCAAGATAGAAAGGAAATCCAGGAACTGGCTGTCAGTATTTTTTCTATTTTTATTAGTATCTAAATGTCAAGAAACATATAAATAATTTACATATTGAGTGTTATTGGTTTTTACAGATTATTATTGTTATTACTTCTATTTGGTGCCGGATTTCCTACTTCATTGTTCTTTTGGCATAAAGTAGTGCAAAAGGTCAGCAATCATATATTTTAATTAAATTTTACTGTGGACATCTTTACAAATCACACATTAAATTTTCTTCTCTATAAATTAAAAAAAATTAATTTTTAGACGCTACTGGTAATCAGGCAGTAGGTGAGCATAAGAAGTCATCTAGCGACAATATTAACCCTTTGTGGGACGTATACGTCCCGCCTTTTGTTTTACATTTAATTAATTTGACTAATTTATTGTATCAAAGTATATTTTTTGTTTCTATGGCATATTTGAATATTACTAACCATATGTTTTTATTTATAAACTCTAAGGATATAATTTAATTACTTTATATGAGTTTTTATAAACAATATATCATTGTTAACCTAATATTAAACAATCAATCTAAAAAAATTGAATTTCTTTATGAATTAATTTGACTATTATTAAACGACGCGTCATAATACTCTGAAAATTTTTTTTACTTGTTTGACATCCCTAAAACTACATACAATAAAGATTATTATTAACAATTTTTAACACGCTAATTTTTAAAATTTATTGTTTATAAATTGAACTTTCAAAAATTTAATTGTGTCGATTACACAGTCTAACAATAATATCCTGTGTATCAAATTATAATACACGTCCCTTATATGTATTTTGAAGCTCTTACCACAAATCTAAACTAAGATTTAAAAAATTCAAAATGGCGGATCCAAAATGTCAGAGGAATTATTTAACCCTTTCACGCCAATGGGACATATATGTCCCACCTACAAAAACCTCAATATCCTTGACGAAAATTAATATTTCTGAGTAAAATTTAGTGCGTTCTCATCAGGAAGAATAGGGCTTTAAAAATATGTAACCTAGATCATGTTAAAAAATTCCTATTATTTAAAAAAATTAATAAATTATTGTTAAAAATGACGAATTTTTTAAACATTTTAAAATTGATTAAAAATTCTTACTCGGGGGTTTTAGGGGTCGCTGATTACGAACATGACATCAGGGGCTTGATTCTTGAAACTATGACACTAGATATCGCATGGTAAATCGCATGCGACATGATCAATGGTATTCTTGAATGACTCGTGACGTATAGAAAATACGTTATTAACTCTTGAAAGTAAGTAACAAGCAAATCTGAAAAAATTTTGAAAAATCTCATCAACCATATTGCAAACGCCATTTTGAACTTTAAAAAACTATCACCGAATTTGTAATCAGTGACCGGGGTTCACCCGAGAACCATCTTTTAGGTCAATTGGATCAATTTTGTAAAAAGTCATCCGCCATTTTTAATTTTTAAAAACTAATATCAGATTCGTCATCAGCGATCCCTAAAACTTCCGAGTGACAAGTTTCAGGTAAAACTAAACAATTTAAAAAAAATCGTCCGCCATATTGGATCCGCCATTTTGAATTTTTCAAAACTAACATCAGATTCGTAATCAGCGACCCCGAAAACCCCAAGTAAACATTATCAAGCGAATAGGATTAATTGAAAAAAAATTGTCCGCCATATTGGATCCGCCATTTTGAATTTTTAAAAACTAACTTTAAATTCGTAATCAGCGACCCCGAAAACCCCCGAGTAAACATTTTTAAGCGAATCTGATTAATTAAAAAAAATGTCCGACATATTGGATCCGCCATTTTGAATTTTTAAGAACTAACATCAGATTCGTAATCAGCGACCCCGAAAACCCCCGAGTAAACATTTTCAAGCGAATCCGATTAATTAAAAAAAAATGTCCGCCATATTGGATCCGCCATTTTGAATTTTTAAAAACTAACATCAGATTCGTAATCAGCGACCCCGAAAACTTCCGAGTAAACATTTTCAAGCGAATCCGATTAATTAAAAAAAATGTCCGCCATATTGGATCCGCCATTTTGAATTTTTAAAAACTAACTTTAAATTCGTAATCAGCGACCCCAAAAATATTGAGACATGAGATGTAAAGAATATCCGTCCATATGAATAATGTGCCCCTCAAAGGGTTAAACCAAGTAAGCAATCATAACAGTATGTTATGGTTTATGTTAATTTTATTTTATTGTCGACATTTTTGCAAATTACACATTAATTTTTTTTCTCTACGAATTATTTAGATGCACCTGGAAACTATAATCAGACTGTAAATCAGCAGGAGTCACCTATCGCGGATGTGGATTCTGGTTAGCGAATATTATAAAAAATCACCATCATTTACTCTATTAGTTTAATTTTTTGATTATTTTTATTCTGTAATTAATTTTTAACAAAAATTTCACAATTATTTTATAGATTCTCCTGCAATGCCAACTTTATCTGATGTATCATTCGAGTCAAAAAGTGATTCTATCTTTTTTAAAGTAAACAGTGTAGACAATGAAAACAAGTTCATATATTACTCCATCTCTCTAATGGACGTAAATGAGCGGAATAGTAAACTCATTGGAAAATTTTTGTACCGTAGTGATAGTTTATTTCATCGTGTACTTGACTTGAAGTTTGGAAATCGATATAAATTTGAAGTCAAAGCTTGTAATAAAAAAACTTGTTCCAATCCTTATATTACCGAGGAGCATACAATAGTCCCTCCATTAGGTACAAACATATATGCTTTACAAAATATCAAAAAAAATATTATTCCCAAGTTGTTTTAATTTAAAAAAATATTTCATTTATCATTTTATATTATACTTACAGTAATCTTTGTTCGTGAAAAAGTTATAAAATTAAAGCATAATTTTCTATATAGTCCTCAAAATATTCATATATTATTATTTTTATGGCGTTCCAACTGCAATTTTTCTTAATATTGGTTATCTTGAACAAAAAAAATAGTGACTATATTTATAGAAATAAACAGTTTACGTGTATTTGAAAATATTAGAATTTCAAGTTATAAAAAATATTTCTAAGAAAGACACGTTTAATTCTTACTTAGTAACGTGTCAGTTTTAACCAAAAATTTGTCTGATTACTTTCTGTTTCAAGATGGCAATGACTTCTAAAAATATTCTGATGGTATTTTTTCTCACTTACAGCAATTTAAATATTACTAAATATATAAATAGTTTTTCGTGCTAAATGTAATTTATTTTTATAGTTTATTAGCATTGATGCTTCTATTGACTTTAATAAATAAGTGTAAATAGAAAAGAGTTATTTTATTCTAATTTTAAGTTTATCATTCTCTGTGAAACAGTTATAAAAATAAAGAATCATTTTTTAAATAGACTTGAAAATATTCTTACATTATTATTTTTAACGTTTGTCATTTTGCAACTCTTTTTATTATTGGTTTCCTTTTATTTATTATTTAATACTATATTAATCTTTGTTCGTGAAACAGTTATAAAATTGAAGAATAATTTTCTAGATAGTCCTCAAAATATTCATAAATTTATCATTATGTCGTTTTAACTGCTTTTTTTATTAGTTAATATTTGTTTGTCCTATACATTGGTTATATTGAAGAAAAAATAGTGACTATAAGAAGAAATAGTTTATGTGTATTTAAAATTTTTTAGAATTTTAAGCAACGAAAAATATTTTTTAGTGACGCATTTAACTCTTATTTTTGAAACGTGGCATTTCATACCAAAAGACGTTAAATAATAGAGTGTGTCTAACTTGTTTTTTATTCAAAGATGGAAAAGAAACCGAGAAATTGTCTGTTAGTAATTTTTTTTTAATTTCCGTATTTTAAATATTAATAAGCATATGAATAATTTTTATATTGTGTTACTAATTTTTACAGATTATTATTATTGTTACTTCTATTCGGAGCAGGTTTTCCGACTTCATTATTCTTTTTGAATAAAAGTAGTAAACAAGGTGAGCAACTACAAATAGATATATTTTAACTTTGAAAAAAATTTAATTTGACCTCATCTAAATAAAATAATTCTTCTCTATAAATTTAAAAAATTTAATTATTAGATACACCGGGGAATAAGAAAGCTATTGAGAAGGTGTCACCTAGCGCCGCCGATAATAAATTAGGTAAGCAATTATTCAAAATACATTTGAATGTTTGAAAAATTTAATTCGTTCTTATCAAAATAGTATATTTTAATTAAATTTTAATTAATGTAGATATCTTTACAATTTACACATTAATTTTTCTTGTCTACAAATTTAAAAAAAAGTTTTATTAAAAGATGCATCTGATAGCCAACAGTCAAGAAATCTGTTTAATATTTCATTTGGTGACAATTTTGGAATTATTCAGTTGATTAAACCCATTCCTGCCGAAGAGTTTTACAAGGTGAATTGCCTAGATGTAAATAATACAGAAACAGAAAGCAACATTGATAACTTACCAAACGAAGAAAATTCTTCATTTATATTTAATCTCATTCCGTCAAGTACTTATCATTTAGAAATTGCGACTTGTAATAAAACAAGTTGTTCTAAACCTTTAGTGACTGAGGAATTTCATACTGATTCTATTTCAGGTATAAATTACATGTAAAATAACTATTATTAATATAACAAATATTCATAGTTTCTAGTTAATGTATGAGTTAAATGTAATATTATTCCAAATTTTTCTAACACCCACAGATGAACGTGCACCTCCAAGAGAGCTCAAGGTGTCAAGCATTACAGATAGTGGATGCATTGTTTCTTGGAAAAAACCCAAAAATAAATCGAAATTGCAAAGTTATACTTTAAAAGTATGGGAAAGTAACAAATTTCCTGATGAGTTGTCTTATGACCAATCTGATTATGTACATAGTAATGATGAAATTTCTGAACCGCTTTCTAAACTAAAGCATGGAACTAACTATACAATCGTTCTTAATGCTGTTTATAGTAACGGAAATGACAATTCTAATCTCACAGCAAATTTTACCACCTTAAATAAAAATTAATAGTACGGAACATAGTCTATAAAATGAGGAAGTTTAATTTTACTGTCCGACTATCATGAAAATAATATTTCCAAACATTGCATATACATCAACATTGAAAGAAAATAAAGTTTCAAACATTAAGTAATACATGTATTTCTACCCCACAAACATAACAAAATTCCGGTTTTAGTCAACAGAAGGCGGACGGAAGTCATTCATTTTTTGGAATTTTTTTCCTTGACAGTTTGAAATTAAATAACTGTTATTGTTACTTTAATTAAAAATTTAATCCTCTGCAGGAGAGTTGTTTAAAATTTTTTACTTGACAGTTTGAAATTGAGTAACCGTTATTGTTCCTTTAGTTAGAAATCCTTTGTAGAAGAGTTTTTCAAAATTTTTAACTTGACAGTTTGAAATTAAGTAACCGTTATTTATTCTTTAATTTGAAATGCTCTTCGGGAGATTTCATCGTCGAATGAGTCCCTCTCAATCAAGGAGGTATATTTATAGTAGCTGTAAGCCTTGCTAACTATCTAATGTGACAAGCCGCATCTCATGTCAAGAGACGATCGACGATATTAGAATAATTACGTCTGTAGTGGTGGATGTGGGGTCGATTCTGTAACTTTTCCACTTCCCGCATTCCACTCTCACTTCCCACATTCAACTTTCCACAACTGCCCACATACACTTCCCACTCTCACTTCCCACATTCACTTTACCTCTTCTCACTCCCAATTTCCACTCTCACTTCCCACATTCACTTTACCACTTTCCAATCCCACTTTCAACTTCCCACCTTACACTTCCCACTTTCAATTCTCGCTTCCCACATTCATTTCCTACCTTCCACTTTTCACTCCCATTTTTCACTTTCCACTTTCCACATTCACATACCACCGTTCACTTTGTACTACCACTTTCAACTTCCCACTCTCACTTCGGGGCAGTCTATAAATTACATAAAATTTATTTGTGTAAAATTTGACCCCCCCCCTCCTCCCTCGTAAGATATTTTACATGCATTAGCGCCATTTTTTCTATTGTTCGTAAAATTTAGCTAGACCCCCCTCCCACCTAAATGTCTTACGTAATTCCGATACTTCAGTGTGATACAGTCCTATCTTCTGGTAAAACTTAGAAAAGTGCTTTCTCGAGGTGACGTTTTGTACCGTGGAATGTGAAAGTGGGAAGTGGAAACCCAGGTAAAAATGATTCGTACGAAATTCGTGCCCATTTCGTTCCGAAATCCGGCCAGATTCGTACAGAATTCCTATCGAATTCGTATGAAATTACTAGCGAAATTCGTGTGGCGTTTTGAAACGTTTTTTCGCACAAATATTCGTGCGAATAATACCCGGATTTTTTTAAATGGATTTTCAAGAAATATTTTCGTTCGGAAATCCGTATGGAATTCCGCACAAAATGTCAGCCAAAAATTTCCACAAAAATTTTCAACGAAATTTCTATATGAAATTCGTACGAAATTCGAGCGAATTACGAACGAATTTATTTTGGAAATTTTTTTTAAAATTCTGCTCGGAAATTCGTACGGAATTCCGCACAAAATGTCACCTAAAAATTCCCTCAAAAATTTTCAGCGAAATTACCATACGAAATTTGTACGAAATTCGAACAAATTTATTTTGAAAATTTTTTATAAAATTCTGCTCGGAAATTCGTATGGAATTCAGCACGAAATGTCAGCCAAAAATTTTCGTCAAAATTTCCATACGAAATTCTTACGAATTTCAAGCGAATAACGAACGAATTTATTTTGAAAAATTTTGCTCGAAAATTCGTACGGAATTCCGAACGAAATGTCAGCCAAAAATTCCTTTAAAAATTTTCAGCGAATTTGCCAAAATAAATTCGTTCGTAATTCGCTCGAATTTCGTACCAATTTCATATGGAAATTTCGCTGACAATTTTTGAGGGAATTTTGAGGTGACATTTCGTGCGGAATTCTGTACGAATTTCCGAGCAGAATTTTAAAAAAAGTTTCCAAAATAAATTCGTTCGTAATTCACTCGAATTTCGTATGAATTTCGTATAGAAATTTGACTAAAAATTTTTGAAGAAATTGTCAAAAATTATTCCGTGCGAATTTCCATACGGATTTCCAAACGAAAATATTTCTTGAAAATCCATTTTAAAAAATCCGGGTATTATTCGCACGAATATTCGTGGGAAAAAACGTTTCAAAACGCCACACGAATTTCGCTAGTAATTTCATACGAATTCGATAGGAATTCTGTACGAATCTGGACGGATTTCGGAACGAAATGCGTACGAATCATTTTTACCTGGGAAAGTTACAGAATATAATTTTATATATATATAATATTATATATATAATATATATATAATATTATATATATAATATTTTTTTTTATATATAATTTTCTGTAACTTTTTCACTTCCCCCTAACTTCCCTTCTAAGTATTACTGGAAGATAGAACTGTATCACACTGAAGTATCGATTTATGGATGACCCCTTCCCACCTTACAATTTCTACTCCCCCTCACAATTCCCATCTTCCACTCTTACTTTCCACTTTCGCTTCTAACTTTCTCCTCCTAATGGCAGGAAAGTAAAAATTGGGAATGAGAAGTGGAAGCAGGGAAGTGAGAGTGAAAGGTGTGAAGTGGGAGTTGAAGGTGGTAAGTGAGAGTGTAAAGTAGAAGGTAGGAAGTGAATGTGGTGAGTGGAACGTGGGAGGTGGGAATTGAGTGTGGGAAGTGTAAAGTGGAAGTAGAAAGTAGAATGTGGTTGTAGAAAGTGTAATGTGGGATGTGAATGTGGGGAGTGGAAGCTTGGAAAGGTGAGTGGAAAGTGGAAGGTGGGAAGTGAGAGTGGGAAGTGAAAAAGTTACAGAATCGGACCTTGAAATAGCGAAAAACACTTTAGCAAGGGCCAAGAATAAATACTTTCTGCATAAGTCTGATGTCCGTACTTCCATAAATAGAAAAAGTCCACAAAAAACGGGAGTGATCTTCAGTTGGTCGACCAGAACAAGAACCAAATAAGATTGGTTTTTAATCCATGTATCTGGATGGAATATTTAAATCTGTTTTAGTAATATATATTTTCCACCATTCTCCAGTACTTTAGTCTCAAAAATTAAAAGCACATTCTCAAGGAAAAGAAAATCCGTAATAATTTATTATTTTTAACTTTCTTATCTCAAGGATGTTTTAAATTGGATTTTATTATTCGAATGCGATTTCAACTTTCGACCCCTAAAGTTCTTTCAACAAAGTGCGACGCTAAAGCTACGTCTCGACATTACTGATCTTTCGATGTCTACTGGTATAGAGGAGAAAATGGAGCCGCGTGTTTTTACGAGGCATATTGTGTACACGTAGCACAAGAAAAATATTCGCATCTGCGGTATAGCGAAATGTCGTTTTGTATTTTTACATATATGACTACTTTTCTCTCTCTCTCTCTTTCTTTCCTTTTGCCCTCGCTTTTCTATACGTGAAGGTGTGTGTGTGTGTCTACTAACACGACTGCAGACATTCTCACTATAGAAATATCGTAAAAGTACTCCCACGTCTCGAGAGATCAGGTTTGTAGGTTGCAAGAATGTTGGGTTAGTGAGATCAAGAGAGGGTGGCTGGCGGGTAAGGTGGTTGGAAATGGAAGAAAAGGAGTGGTTACCTTAAATTCTCCCACTTTTTGCATGGTTGCTCTCCTTCAGCCAACTTGCAAACGGTGAAATCTTCTTTTTAAAACGTAGCATTCTCATTTTTCTATAAACTGACAAATTTTTCGTTAACAATACATAAACTCTTTTTTTCTCCCATTTAGATATTTAATTCAAACTGACAAAATAATTTATTTAACTCAAAAGTAATGCAAGTTACTTTTCTAGTAAACGGTTCATGAAATAAATTTCATTGCCCTCTTTCCTTTTCTAACGTCTTATATTTCAGTAACTTCCATGTCTCATCCCAACCACAACACGCCCTCCCTTCAAATCTCATCTAGTACCTGTTCCTTTGATGAGATTTCATCGGTATAGTGTCTCCCGTATAATTACAACGTGGCATTTATGAACAGACGGGTGAAAGCTTTTGACATGAAAATTTTGAACTGGAATTCATATTCGTGAAACGTTATTAGTAAATAATTATTTTTCACCGAATATGTAAAAATTCCAAGCAAAAATAAATTTTATTTAATTAACATTCTTTCGCTTTTGGATATTTTCATTGATACGAAAAATTTAATCTAAATGTAGCAAAATATAAAATAAAAAAACAAAAAGCGAAATCAATGGAATTAGAGCAGAATATCTACTCAGTCAATAAGTAGAATTAGAAATTTATGAGAAAAGGTCTTGTGAATTTTCCATCAAGAAAATATATTTACCAGGACCGTATTCCTTAAATCACTATTATTTTAGTATATCCTTAGGGATTCCAAAAAGGTCATTCTGAAAATGCTCTTAAAATAAAATCTTCGTCTTTGTCGTATATACAATATATTTTCATACTTCAGAAGCTTTTTACTTCTTGTCCGAAAATAAAGAAAGAATAAAGAGAAAAATTTTTAATAAAGAACAATTTTTTTCTTTGAACAATTTATTTGAGAAATTTTTGACTATCAATAAAAGATGATCTTGAAAGATATTTTACTTTAATTTATTGAAATAATTTGACACTTGAGTTGAAAGAGGAAAATTTAATTAAATGAAATCGCTATTTAATCAGTTTAATTGTAATATAATTCTCAAAGGACAAAGTGTATTTAAGTTTCAAATATTATTTATCTATCTTGTCTGTAAGCGGAAACTCGGAAAGTTTGATGCCGACAAACGGAGACAAAAGCCGGACAGTGGAACAAATTTATCTACGGTCAGACTCTCTTGTAGAGTGCGCACGAACGATCGTCAACGATCTCTTCTACTGTGAACGCTCACTATTTTACTTTGCGACCTGACAAACCGTAAACATTTTCATTTTACTCTTCACGAAAAATTTCCTTCTTTTTTCACTCTTCGTGACATGAAAAATGATTTTAAGGTAACGACATTATTCGGTAACATAATATTTTATTTTGTAATATGTTTATTTGGTGGAAGGTGTGTAGAATTATTATTTTAATAAAGTATTATAAATTACCTATTAAGGTTTAGTTATTATTGATGTGTGTTAGTGTTATG